CACACTATCATTTCATATATTGACGTCACAGGTAACCTACTGAACTCTACTTCGCCTGCCCAGTGTCCCGCCAAGTCTCAGACAACATGTTTTTATTGTTTAAAAAACAATTCCGGCCGAGCATGTCTCTGACCACACTATCCTTAGGACAAAGAAACAGATGAACTCTACTTCACCTGCCCTGTATCCCGCCAAGTTCAGATAGGCAACTTTATCATTCACATCTAAAAAAAAACAAATTGAATTTTTTTTTAACACTGACGTGATGTGTCTAGAACCGTGCCAACCGCATGAAAGGCTATTACACTAACAACTTAGCTATCTAGGCTCGTGACGTCACTGATGTTTTTTTTGTGCTATATAATAATACTTTGAGTCTCCTTATGCAACCTGATTTACGCGTATAGGCGTTATCTAGATCTAGATCTAAGTCTAGTAACTTTCAAATTAAATTTTATCTTAAATTAGCCAATTCCATAGCTAAACAAACAAAGATTATATAAAATAATAATAAAGGTCTGAAATAGTTTAGTATAGGCCTATAGAAACTCATAACTATCTAAATCTAGAGAGAATTATCTATATTCTATATTCTACGACTGGTTTGCTTAAGTCGAGTTTTTGCGTATCTCTTGCTAGATCTAGATTAGACCTATTCTAGATCTAGATAGATAAATCAAAAAGATTTATACCAAGTATTTAAGGACTAAAGTAGTTTAATAAAGAAACTCAAAAATGTGTTATGATTTCAAAATGGATTGTAGTTTTAACTAGTTAATCTTTGGTTTGACCTAGATTCTAGATCTAGATCTATAAATAACTTTCTTGAACAGATTGTAGAGCTAGAGAAATTTATTGTAAAACTAAATGAAAAAGACAGTTGAAAATTTATATAAGTGTTGGAACGTAATAAAAATAGCAAACGGACATATTGTTAAAGTTATAGCCGACAGAAAATTAGCTTTAGAACGCGTTAAAGATGTGAATAAGATACGAAATCTTGTATATTGGAGCCGCCATTTATTGTACTAAAAAGTAAACAAATCATGTGACATCTCTATTCACTCAAAGTAAAGTCGTTTTTCTGAACTTAAAATTAATGTGGTTAATCTACCAATGAATAAATCAATAAATTAGTTAACGTCTTTAAATAAATTTGTGATTAACAGTCTGTTTTACTATTTTACAGCTCTATACAGTTTCTCTCCATTACCCAATCAGACAAACAAAAAAAATCAAATAAATATTCAAACATGTAAACAAAGTTGAGTTTTAGTAGTATAGAGATATATAACAATATTTGTGATCATGTGAGTATAATTATATTAACCAGTCAGAGTTTTAGTTATATTTTTATTGCACCAAGAAGACTGGAAATTTCGGCTCAACTAGACACTCCATATTTTTATTGCACCATCAAGAAAGGTAATTTCGGCTCAACTAGCCATTCCATATTTCACGCAAATAAGAGGATCACGTTTTTTAGACGCATTTATCCGGGGATGGGGGGGGGCGCACTTAAAATGTCTTTGTTGTATGTGGGTGGGAGCCGACACTGGTTAAAGTATATATTTTATATATAACATATTTTCATGATTTCGTACGAACGGGGCCGGTGAATATCTGAAAGGATCTCTGTAACAAGTTAGCAGTTGATCAGTACGCGCAAGTTGTGGACTTAACACATGAAGAAATTGCAACTGTTAGCTTGGTACTGTTAGCTTTGGCACTTTTTAAAATGTAAATCAGATATACCTATATGTCTCATGTTTTTTAAAAAGTAATTGTATTGAGTTCTTTTTCTTTTCCGTGATCTCTTTTCTAGGTCTATAATTTCTGTACATCAACGTCAAGTTAACACCGAATTATATTCTGTTCAGTCGACTTTACAGATCACTATCAGGTAAGGGAAATAATCTGTCGGTAGCTTTCATTGGAGTTTACGATAAAGTGATTATGTCTTAATGATTAGAGCTAAGGTATGTCCGTCATTGTTCATTGCTTTCCTTCGAAAATTGTTTGCTCAGTTTTTCTTACTAAAATTTAACCTTTCAGATTAGGTGGGAAAAAGGGCAGATTTAAGTAGAATTTACCTGTATCTGTATCCGCCATATCTGCCACAACGTGAGTAATGTTTCGATCAGGGTTGTATAGTTTCAGGGAGAGCCAACAGACTCGAGCCGTATATTCGAACGTGACTTCCAAGTGACCCGCCTCTCATTTGTTTTTTATTTTTTTATTGAACTGAATTCTTGTTATTAAGTTTTGCATGCTAACAAAGTCGAATGCGTAGAGTTTATTTGCTGTAAACATTGTACACGACGATTTTTGTTAATTTAAATTTCCTCATGTGTCATATTATGTTGACGTTCACAATCAACTCAGTCAATCCACAAGCCACTATCATTTTAATCTATTTACGTCGGCGCCACTGTGGGGATGGGCAGACAGCCAGTCACAACCTAGCCTGTACACCAGAGCCGTACTATAACTTGGACAGGTACAAGTGTTGTACGTGTACCTGGTCAAGCCATCTACAACGTCTCTGTGTACCCAATGACCTATAAACAGCTATTAGGATGTGACGCTATACTGGTCATCTAGTCCACATTTTTACGACTCTTGTCCATTACTTTTTTACATAGACAATCAAATCATCGCCTCAAGTTCATTGCCTACCTCTACATCATGAGCCACACAAAACAAACTGGTTAGGTCATATAGGTCGTTGTCATGGTAACCGGAAGGAAAGTGCTCTAGTGCTAAAATTTTGACAGGTATCAATCCGAGGTGGCCAGGATTTTTCTTACAACCTGCGAGGTGTGTTTGTAGATCTGCCTCACCTTGACTTTCAAGGCACTCTTGTACTTCATGTGTACTTGTCTGGGTAAACAGGAGAATTCTATTATTGTGAATGTAAATGTCTCATTATGACTGAACTCCAGTATATGTGGATAAATACTTTAATCCTCAGCTGCTACACTATATCAAAGGTCATTAGAACATAAACAAGCTATAATTATATTTTAGGACGCAAATTACAGCAAAAGTGCCAAATCATTTGAAGAGGTTTATTGATGAAACGTTTATTAAAAACTACTTGATTTTCTATGTTTTTCTCTAAACTGAATTTACTTGTGAAATATTTAGATCCATCTTTTTTTTTCGGCCGTACGGTTGTGCTCATCTAAATTATCCTCTTCTAAACAGGTGTGACGTAGATGTCTATAACGAAAATGTAACTATACTCAAGTTATTGTCTATATCCAGAGTTGCCATTCCCCGTAGTGTTATATAAGAATGTTCCAAAAAGTTTAGGGGAAATCCCTTCCGTTTATTTGTTATAATTTAATTAACGCTTATTTTAATATTTGGTATCGGATTCGGTAAAACCTTAGTTTAGCTACGTAAATTCCAACGAAGCTAGTGCGGTGGAGGTAATTAATTAATATTTCTTTTATTTGGTCATATTTATGACATGTTTTACATAATTTAACAGATGATTGAATAACAAATCACAATACATGACCAAACCAATCAAAAATGTCCTGGAATAAGCTTTGAACTACCCTGTTGAAGACAACAATGAGTAAATACAAGTAGCGGCCATATTTCAATAGCCCTTATAACTTACCATACAATACATATTCTTCTTTATGTTGTGTATCCATGACTGATACTGTCATTGGTATAACGAGGTCGAGTATCATCCCATGCGGTAACTGACCGTGTCACCCCCTTCCCTCCAAAATTGGATTTGGTGTTACAACTGTCGACATACTTTAAAAATATTTAAACTGGATCAAAACATTGTTTTGTCAATATATTTTGTGATTTTTTTTTCGATTTGGTGTCAACCCCTAAAAGGGATTTTTTCACTATATGTTACGATATTTTTCGATTTGGTGTCACCCCGTAAATAGGCGGACCGCACCCTCCCTCCGATTTGTGACACTACTGGGTACTGTACCAGCATTTATAATCTCGCCTTCAGATGTGATTAGACTGACCATCGGACTTAAAAGGGTATTCGACTTGTAAAACTAAAGGCTTTAAATTCGTAGTAAGTTTCCTGGAGAACGGGGTAATTTTTCCCCACGTTTTCTTTAACTTGCTTTCGCGTCTGTTTGTTTGTTTGTCTTTCCATCAAATCTTGCTATCGAAATTTCGGGCACGTCCCAGTTAGTTAGCGCGCTGAAATTTTCAGGGAAGCTTTGTTTCCGATGACAATACAATATTCAATTATTATTATTACTAAATTGATCCATGGAAAAATTTTATTGATCATTTTAGACTCCTATTGATTTGTACAAAAAAGGGACATAACCTAGTAATCGTAATTTGATAAAAACAAGGTTCGGTACTTTCACTCTAATCAGAAAACGTGGGTTTTTTTTTTAAATTTTTTAATGATAATTATTATTTCTATCTTCGTTACAGTAGTTCTTGAGCAGTCGTTCTTAACCCCATGGGTTCGGTGAGTCAGTCTCAGGGGTTCGCCGGAGGTCCAGACACACACTCGACGAATTCTTTTCAGTGCGGACAAGAGAACTATTAAGAAGAGTTCGGCAAATGTGCATATGAAGCTGGTAGGGTTCTGTACACACAAAAAGGTTAAGAACCACTGTGCTAAACAGGGCCGGCACTGCCTATAAGGCGTACTAGGCGGTCGCCTAGGGCGCTGTCCGTAGGGGGCGCCAAATGGGTTGGAAAAACAAATTGAAAGTTTGAGGGGAGGGGGGTGCAAATCGAAAGTTTGTCCCCGGGCGCTGGGAAGGGACGCTACGCCTCTGATAATACGGGGGCACGAAAAAAATTGCGGGATGGGGGGCGCTTTTAATAAGTTTTGCCTGGGGAGCTAAATAACCTGACGATGGCACTGGTGCTAAAGGCTAGTCCCTGTGTGCCAAGCTCAAAATAGGATAAAACACAATTAACGTTAGATCGATACGTATTAGCTATGATGATACCATTCTAAAGAATGAAAAAAACAACAACAATAATGATAGCCAAAATGAAAAACAATCATCTTGCATTTTTTAAAAATGTTATACAACTCAACTCAGATCATCAGCTTTTTTCTTTTACACTTGTCCAATGGAATCAACATAGGGAAAGGCTATACATGTAAACATATTTTCTTTTACAGACTTAAGGGGCAGCAACGTCTAAAGTCTGAAGAATTAACTGCATGCGCAAAATGTTGATTTAGCTCGTTGACCAAGGGGGATTCTGGGATGTTTATTGTGTTCCCCGGCCAAGTAATCAGCTCTAAGGCATATAATCAAATGAGATCACAAAGCCCATAATCAAATAGTTTACTTCAAAATAGGCTTCTAAAACATGTAGTAAAATAAATTATAGAAATAACCACTAAAAGAGTTGTATTGTTTCGTCCACACGTAGGCCTAAGTTTCAATGAATTTTTTTTTTTTAAGGTTTACTTCGAATTTTAAAATATCATTTCCCAAAAAAACCTAGGCCGGTAACAAAATTCTATTCAAGAATCGCATCAAGTTCAGAAATCACAAACATTCATTGACATTTTCTTGAAGCGAAGGTTCAGATTTCTTCTCAATGTCGACCGCAATGTCTTGGTTCATGTTTGCCAGGGTCTTGTCCAAGTCAGCTGATGTGGCCCATGACTTGGCGATCTCAGCGAACGATTTGTTTTTGGTCTCAGGGACGTAAAAGTGGATGAAAATGGCCATGGCTATGTCGATTCCACAGAACACGAAGAATGTGTAAGATTTCAGGTTGGACTGTGGAGAGAACATAAGTAATGTGTAGGTTGGACAGCGGAAAGAACATAATGAATGAATTTGGACTGTGGAAAGAACATAAAGATTGTGTAGGTTGGATTGTGGCAAGAACATAAAAAATGTGTAGGTGTGTAGGTTGGATTGTAGAGATTACATAAAGAATGTGTAGGTTGGATTGTGGAGAGAACACGAAAAATGTGTAGGTTGGATTGTAGAGAGAACACAAAGAATGTGTAGGTTGGATTGTAGAGAGAACGCGAAGAATGTGTAGGTTGGATTGTAGAGAGAACACAGAGAATGTGTACGATTTCAGGTTGGATTGTAGAGAGAACACAAAGAATGTGTAGGTTGGATTGTGGAGAGAACATAAAGAATGTGTAGGTTGGATTGTAGAGAGAACATAAAAAATGTGTAGGTTGGATTTTAGAGAGAACATAAAGAATGTGTAGGTTGGATTGTGGAGAGAACATAAAGAATGTGTAGGTTGGATTGTAGAGAGATCATATAGATTGTGTAGTTTGGATTGTAGAAAGAACACGAAGAATGTGTAGGTTAAATTGAGGAGAGAACACGAAGAATATGTAGTAGTGCAGTGCCGAACACTTACCAGCAGTATAGGAAATATGTAACAGTGCGAGAAGAATCCCAACATGGCGCACAAGATGGCTATACTAAATCCCGTCCCACGAGCACTGTTGGGAAATAGCTCACTCAGCATCACCCAGAACACGCAAACTGTAAGCATATGTGCATGGTGTACAAGTGTACAAGGCAAGAATTGTGGACTTAATACTTAAGAATACACCATAGATGAGAATGACATTACTAATGCGGACTGAACACTTAAAGATATAGACCATTGATGAGTGGACTAAATTTTCCGATTGGAGGGGGGGGGGATGGGTGGACACTGGTAAAGTATATATTTTCTATATAAATTCTATTTCGTTCAGGGGGAGGGAGTCTGGTGTAGACCTAACGGGTTCGACTTACTTGGTCCCAATGAATAGCAGACTATGACAAGTAGTGAGACCACAATATTCACATATCTGAGAGCATTCACCTCGTCCTAAAGTGGAAATATGGAGGAAAGGGTTACAGTTAAAAATTCTTTATTAATTAATGGGATATTAGATCTAATGCAATATGTTATAAAAGGCTACGAAAAACATACTCTATACTATTTAAGAGTTTGTTTTGAGTGGACCTTATCTACAGGCTACAGGCATTCAGCTGCTCTCTTAATATTCTGAAATTATTATGATTAATATTCCAGAAAATAAAAACGCGAGACAAATCTATTGTACCTGATACAACATAGTGAGCGCGATGACAGCTGAACACACGGCCATCCCGATGGTTCCCATTTGAAATAGCGTCTTCCGGCCGAACCTCGTCAAGAGAAAAATGGCGAATACATTGCACAAAAAGAAAGTGAGACCTGTGCCCGAAGTTGCGTATCTCGCGTTCCTGTCGTCCAAGCCTGCGGATTTAAAAAGTTGGGTGGAAAAGAACAAAATCTGAAAATAAATTTGAAAAAATAAGTTTTAAAAGTTTACTACAAGACGTCAATTTAAAAAAAAAGTTTTAAAACTGTTTGTTAAAATGTCGCCTATTAATAAATTTGTCGTCTTACCGCGTTCATCCCACACCAGTTTTGCTGGAGGCCCATCACAATGGCAATCACTAAAGGTCTTCGAAGAAGCGGACTTTTAAACAGCTTGATAACAGATACCTGTATGAAAACACACGCCGTGATAATGTATGTTATAGATTTCGAAGTTCAAGCATAGGAATGTGATGGAATGAAGGAACGACGATGTTCTAACATAAACACCAATTCTTAGAAGTTATAAATGAACTTAGCCGTCAGCAACATGGATTAGAAGTTTCTCTTTCTAGAACACAGGTTCTCAAAATTTCTCGAGTGGCGATCCCTTTTAATGAAAGCCGAGTGACCCGTGAACCCTCTATATAATTAAAAAGAACCTTTTGTTTGGTTTTAGTCAACAGGTTGCCCCCAGTCTGTCCCACTTAGATGCAAAGTGCTTTTTTGAAAGTTCTAGCAGTGGCGTCGCTAGGTCGGGTGTCACCCGGTGCGGTTCGTACCCCCCGCCTCCGTCTCGCGACGCCTCTGACTACTAGCATTTCGATTTTTAAAAAAATAGATCGCAGAAATAATTTAGAAATTTTATATTTTAAAAATAATTGACAAGCAGCTTCTGTAGGGCTTATTATTTTGTCTGTTCAGGACCGCGTGTTAAAATACATTTGACTGTATTCAGTTGTTAAGGTAAGAAAAAAGTCTCACCTCAGCGTCAGTTGCTGACTCTTTCAGTTCTTGGTGCAGCATAGCGATATCTTTCTCTACATTTTTTCTGTTTCGAATTATCTGTAATGCTAAACGAACACCGGGGAAAAAAGAAATATGTATACAGATTTTTACATCTTCTAATATATAAAGCTCAATTCTGTATGTAAAAATAAGTTTGTTTGTTTGTCGTTGACATACTTCCATGGATTTAAGTGTTAGACTATTATCGTGCTCTTAGTCTAAATTTATGAGTTAAAAAATTACTATTGAAAGTGTTGGGAAATAGTTTTCATTTTTCTAACTGATAGTAATAATTGTCGGCATGTTCATTAAACATAATTTTTAAAAAATAACAAAAATTCTAATTATGTCTGAAAATTATTTATATTTAGTCCTTTAGCACTTACTTCCCTTTGATAAATTAGGAAAACACAATTACTTCCCTTTATAAAACATTGCATTAGGGGAAAAGAATTTACTTTTTATTAATTTGTTTTGGTGTTGGGAAAAAAATAATTACATAATTAGCGGGGATTGATCAAGTGCAAATGTTGTAGGTATTTTACGGATAAGCTTGGAGTATTATAATTGTTCATTAAATTGAAACAGGCGCGTCCGCCGGCGCCCCACCAGGGTTCAATTTGGCGCTCTGGGCTATCCTGTGAGCGCTATGGTGCATAATTTCGCTTTAAACAGTGCGCTAGAGTATAGATAAGAAAGGTTACTATAGTCTTGAAGTGAATCGAATCCGGGCGTCCCCTGGTGCCCAGACAGGGTGCTATTTGGGGCCCCGGGCCTCCCGTGTTCGGTTTGGCGACTACGTTCGTTTAAGTGAGTGCAAAAGACTATGAATAAGTTGGGGTACTATAGTCGTTTATTAAGCTGAAACAGGCGATTCCGCCCCGGGCTAGACTGTGAGCACTTTGCGTTTATGTACGCGTTAGTGTTTTCTTTGTGTTTAGGTTGGGTTTGCGTTAGTGGTTGCGTTTTGGTTCGTTTTTGTTCTTTCTTTTTTCGTTTTCGATTGTGTTTTTTCTTTGGGTTTGTATTTGTGTTTGTGGTTGGTTTTGAGTTTGGATTTGGTTTGTTTTCGTTTGCTTTTTCGTTTTTTTTTCTTTGTGTTCGTATTGGTTTTTGTGGTTGTGGTTGGGTTTGTTGTTAGGTTTTTGTTTTCGTTTGCTTTTTTGTTTGTTTTTTCTTTGTGTTTGTATTAGTGTTTGTGGTTGTGGTTGGGTTTGTTGTTAGGTTTTTGTTTTCGTTTGTATTTGTAATTGTGTTAGCGTTATGTTTGCGTTTTGTTGTTTAGGTTTTGGTTGGTTGTGGTTTGGGTGGGCAATGCCGGGTTTATGATGATTAATAAACACACAGGTAATGGTCTTTAACAGAAAGGTTTTTCACAGAAGCCAGAGCAGGGCCTGGCCGGGACGGCTAGTACTAAATAGTTATTGTTTTTAAGTAAAGACCTTCTGGAAGTTTTGTGGATAATTATGGAGCTTTGGGCTGTGGGTAAGGCCTACTCCACACTAACTAGGACACATTAAAACCACATCGCTAGCATACAGTGTTTTTCCAGACTATTTTCTCTGGGGGGGGGGGGGGGGGGGCTCTTGATATTTTTTCGAGGGGGGGGGGGTCGGACAGTGGTAAAGTATGTTTTCTATATAAATTCCATTTCGTTCGGGGGGGGGGGGGATACCCGAAGAGATGACTGGAAGAAACACTGTGGCATAAAGAAGGTTGGCTCTGTGCTTTAGCTAAATGCTAATGTTTCATTCTTCAGCTCTAGATGAATGAGTTTATAAATGATACAGTTAATGTCAACAGAACACTACTTTCTACGATAAGTGGGCTTCCGTATGTGTTTACCTCTTGTGGCGCCCTCTGTGTCGTTTTTATTCATCAAAAGATATCTGGGACTCTCGGGACAAAATGGCAGCAGAATGATCTGCAGGCCAAAGAAAATAACTGGGAAACCTGTAGATCGAATCCAAATATTTAGACACAGTTTTATGGGTTACAATTTCAGTTAAAAGTCCCCACTATTGGCCTACTCATTTGCACGTGATTCCATTCATTTTCTCGAAAAGTATTTCTTTAAACTTATAACGACTGTAGATTTTTTTAATGTAAAAATCGAGGTAACTCACCAAAAAGGTAGCACCAATAGTGCTCATTCCCCAGCAGTTCCGTGTAGCCCATAACTTTAAACTTATAACGACTGAACATTTTTTTTTAAAAATGTAAAAATCGAGGTAACTCACCAAGAAGGTAGCACCAATAGTGCTCATTCCCCAGCAGTTCCGTGTAGCCCATAACTTGAGCGACGAAGAAGGAAAAGCTCTGGAACAGCTGGTTCATCAGGGCCACGCTGCCCCGCATACTGGGCAGTGCCATCTCCACCAGGTAGGCCGGGGCCAAGCTCAGACCCCAGGCTAGATACACCAAAAACACACGTGAAGGTGAAAATTGCATTAGTGAGACTTGCCGTAACATAAATGATATTTTGTTCGATTTTTAAAAATTAAGTATTAATAAATATGTTGGCATAAAATTATAAAATGTGTTTATTGAGTTTTTCTTTTTCTAAATGCAGCTGGACATTTAAGTAAAGTAAAGTTTCCCTTTCAAACCTGACGGTCTACGGGGCAAGTGAAGTAGAGTTCACTTGTTTCTGTGATCTCGGCATATGAAGAGATAGTGTGGTCAGCATTAAGCTGGACATTTACCAACCCGAAAATCTAAAGTTTAGTTTACACCCGTACAAAGGATCCCGAGTCACCTAACCTCACTCACATAGTACAACCAACCCACTTACCTAGTTGAACAAACCAACCCAATAAGTCTAACAAGGGGTCGTCCATAAATGACGTCACATTCATAGGGGGAGGGGGGGGTCCGTATTTTTTTGACGGTGTGTGATGAGGGGGAGGGGGGGGGTCAGATCGTGCGACGTCACACTTTGCATTAACAAAAAGTAATGTTGGAAAACTAATTTTAGACGTTATTACGCGTTTTAATACACACTTTTTTAAAATAGGAATTTATTAAAATACTCTATTTTGACAGAGTTCAGACAAGATTTTGGAAAAGTATCGATGTTTTACGAAAAATTCAACTGCAATTTCGAGGGGGGGGGGGGTGTAGACAGAGATGTGACGTCATTTTAGGGGGGGGGTCTGACTTTTTAAGACGATGTGTGACGAAGGGTAGGGGGGAGGTAAAAATCGTCAAAAAAGCGTGACGTCATTTATGGATGACCCCCAAACCCACTAACTAATCTAGCAAACACACCCACCCTGTCTAACAAACCCACCACTTAGTAGAACAAACCGACTCACCAAGTGTAAACCCAGTTAGTGTCCGCCCCACAAACAACATCTCATAGGAGGAGCCGACCTTACAAAGTGCCATCATCAGCACGCCAATGAGCCCAGTCACAGAAGCAAGGATAATGGATAGTTTTCTGTGAATAAAGTTTCAGGATAATGGATAGTTTTCTGTGGATAAAGTTTCAGGATAATGGATAGTTTTCTGCGGATAAAGTTTCAGGATAATGGACAGTTTTCTGCGGATGAAATTTCGGAATAATGGATTATTTTCTGTGGATGAAGTTTCGGGATAATGGACAGTTTTCTGTGGGTAAAGTTTCAAGGCAATTGGCGGAGTTAGGTGAAAACATTAAGGATAACAGACAGTTACGTGAGAAAACATTTCAGGATTGTTACAGTTTTCTTTAAAATACTTGTCTGATTAAACAAGTACCTTCTCCCTGAACATATGTGATGATTTTTTAACATTTTATTTAAGTTGAACTAAGATTCTGCAATTGCTAAAAGGACGATCGTTTTTGTTAATTTCTAGATTCTAGATAAGATCAATCCAGTAAAGTTTTTACATAGCAATTTAAAAAAAATCATTATTAATGTGTATGTGAACTTTAGTAAACTGTATAATTAATCATTTAATGTGCACATTTCTGTCAACATCGTCATCACGTCGAACATAATAAGCGCTTGTTTGTTGAATTTTCATGTTATTTTGAAAAAAAAATTCGAGAATAGACAAACACACCATCACCGAAGCGGGGTTTTTTTTTTTGTTATTTTACTAAAAACCTCAAAACATCTAATAAATGAAATAAAAACATTTACAATAACAAGATTTTAAATGCACTTAATAAATAGACAATAATTTTCTCTAGCAGTGATAGTAAAAACAATTGAATAGACGAGCTTTTTCCTCAGCCATATATGGTCGCTCTACAGATATTCTCCCTACATTTTAGAAACCCATATTTTGACTCTAAATCTTCAAGATATAAATATAGTGTAAAAATATAATAAAGTTGATATAAAAGACAAATAGTACTGTTATTATTCTTCCCAAGCCAATTGTTTTAAGTCGACACCCTTACTCAATTTTTAAAAACCAAAAAATTCTTTTTATATACATTTAAAAAAATAATCCGCAAAGTTTGAAACAAATCGCTCCCGTTTCCAATGGGACTAAACTGTACTAGAAGAGTTGACCACAAACCTCCACAGACGCATAGTGCATTGTGGTCAGAGTTTCTTTCAGACGTCTCTCCTGTTTACAACCATACAGACGAAATCGAAGGGGGAAAATATAATTATAGAAAATATATACAGTATCCGCCCCCCCCCTCCCCACACATCCGAAGATTAAATTCCCCCCACCTCCCCCGGGAGAGAATATTCTGAAAGAAACTATGAATGTGAAATTTTGACAAAGTACAAAATCCTGTAAAAAAATAACATTCACTGTTTTCCCTACCGTCCAAACTTATCGGCCAAGATGCTGGCTATGAGAGACCCAGCGGCTGACCCGAGACCCACCACGGCGACTAGCAGACCGAACAAAGAGTCCACCTCATCCGTGGACATCCACTCGCTGTCTCTTTGAAATTTTGTTTCGTTCATGAATTCTTTGATGAGCTGCGATAAATGGCGAAACAAAAATGCATGTGTGTTTTTAATTATTTGTCAAACTTAGAAGTGAATTTAAACGAATTAATTTTACATGTTTCGATTTTGTTGTGAATCGTCTTAGTTGGTAACTTAAAATATTTGCAATCTTTCAGACCTTTAGCTACGGAGTCAGGTGGGGGGGGGGGGGGGGGGGAGAGAGAGCACAAGAAACTTCCACCATGTCCGGCAATAGTTACAGTATATTTTAAGATCGTGTATTTATATATGAAATGTAGTCTACCTTATTGAAATGTTAATCAAGTTGTCGAATTCCCACGATAATAGAGTACAGTAACACTTCCGGTTAACGGAAATCGTTCAAAAATTGATAAAAACATGTGCATACAATCTAATACTTATATTTTAAATTTCGTCCACGTAACTTAAACGATAATCTAGCTAAAGACTTTTGAGAAACCGAAAGTAGTATAAGTTCCATTTTAGATTAACGGAAATAGCTCAAAAGTTTAGGGACTAGACGGTGTAATAAGAAAGTGAAAACTTACATCTGTGGGTGCATTCAGGGACGAGACTGTGTAGCCAATGCCTGGTATGATGAGATAGGCCGTAAACATGATGAGCAAAAACCTGAAGGTCCAGCCGTTCTCCTGCTTAAAATACATGCGAAAAAAAAACTTCAGACTTTAGACAGTTTGGGTTCGTTCATTCATACCGTCACTAGCGTCGCTAGGTCGGGTGTCACCCCCTCACAACCCAAATGGTTCGAATCCCCGCACCCCACGTCGCGACGCCTATGTATACCGTTTCACTGTTTTTGTTAACTTTTATCCCCTTTCCCTCAATCTTCCTGCACCTAGATCAAGGGCGTAGCCAGGTTCCAGGGGTAGGTGGTAGACCAGAGGCGTAGCCGCCCGATCTGGCGCCCAGAGGGAAATATCAATTTTACGCCCCTCCCCCCCCCCCCAATTATAGTTATTTACGTGGGAGAAATACGCTCCACTCCCTTTTTTTGGAAAGGTTAGTGCACTTATACCATTCACTACCTATTAGCAGTTTAGTTTTCATTTTGGTGTCACTCAGTTGATGTAGAACACAGATAAATTAGTCAGAAAGACCAAGTAGTCAATAAGTCAATAAATAGGCAACATAATAATTATGTATATGCATATAATATGTATACGTACATTTACAGTGGGAGGGAGTATGGGGATTTATAGCCCCATAGACCAGGGGTCGGCAACCTTTTGAGACAGAAGAGCCAAAAGTTACAATTTTCGAAATTTCCCACTTTTTAAAGAGTCACAAACCTTTCTTTATACCAATATTTTATTATTCAATTAGGGTTAGGTAAATAAATTTGATTTGCTATTTAAAATAAGTAGCTTCAGTAGCGTAGCGAGGGGGGGGGGGGCGGGGGGGGGGACATATGTCCCCGGGCGCCGAGCTTAGGGGGCGCCAAAATGGGTTGGAAAAATAAATTGAAAGGTTGAGGGGGGTGCAAATTGAAAGTTTGAGGGGGGGGGGTGCAAATCAAAATCTCGAGGGGGGGGGTGCAAATCGAAAAGTTTGTCCCCGGGCGCCGGGAAGGGTCGCTACGCCTCTGAGTAGCTTTAAATATGACATACACTTCTTTCGCGAGAATAATGAAATTAGTAATAAAAAAATAAAAACATAGGACTATCCTAATCCACTTAAGTAGCTGTTAACTTTTTCTTTCTTTACGTGCTTCACCTTCTCAGTGGGTATCTCCCATTAGCCAGGCAGGCCGCAACACGGCAAACTCCGACTAGCTGGCTTGGATATCGGTTTGATTACCGTGTATCCGTCCCTTCTTTCCTTTGGATTTCCACCCCACTGAACACAGAGGAAACTAGTACCCCATCGTCCTGTACCCGGCTCAACAATAGTAACTTAAAACAATCACTTAAAAACTAAGTCACTCACGGCAAATTAATGATTACTAACCGCTATGGACATGCATTCTGAATAAAATGACATTCGCATTTAACGATATTCGAAAAAGTCGGCACTTGGGCTGTGTCAGCTGTCCGTATACTTTCTACCTCACCTACTCTCATTGATCTCTGATGAGTGTTTTTATCCTGTTTAAAGTTGAGTTTCTTTACAGTATAATTGTTGCGAATTTTGAAAACGAAATTATGTAACTATTACTATATGTGCGAGGATCTGGAGAGCCGCATCTTGACATCAAAAGAGCCGCATGCGGCTCGCGAGCCGCAGGTTGCCGACCCCTGCCATAGACCACTAAAATGTAAGTTGTTGCTTTATGTCAACAATATTTTTCTTAAAAAATGTAGAACAACATATTAAATTTTAAACAACCATTTTCCGCTCCTAAAAACGTTACAAGGATATATAGACCTATATATATATATATATATATATATATATATATATATATATATATATATATATATATATATGTGTGTGTGTGTGTGTGTGTGTGTAATGATTTTAAATATACAAATTAAAGGCTCATAAATTGCGTGCTGATATTATTTTCTGGTGAGTTTTTTCGTTTACTTTTCTCTTAAATTTCCTTATAATTTCTTTTTGGTGTAAGGTACCCCTTCGAATCCGACGGTCCATGTAGCAGGTGAAGTAGGATTCACCTGTTTCAGTGACCTCGTCACATGAAGAGATAGTGTGGTCAGCACGATGTCCAACAACAATATCAAAATGCATAAGTACTGAAACATTCAAGTATTTTTAGATGCTATTTCAGATGTAAAGATGCTTGCATGCACCAGTAATAATTAAAAAATAGGCATAACGAAAACCGCTTCCAACGAAGCTTAAGAAAAGGCGAAAGATAATATTTTTACGTGCAAAATACAACCTTACAAAATAAAGCATTTTGTAAAACCAAGAATAATGAAAATCATAAAAGTAGCTGTTTTATAAAACATTACTCCATACCACCTTACTATCCCATAACAGAAAACACATACCCATCGCCCTTTCGTATTAATAATAAGAATGTTGTTGTATAGCATATGCACATTCTCTATGTAGATAATTTACTTTAACTGTGTCACCGCTTTACTAATCGACTTCACCGAATTCTCATATTTTCATCATTGCTGCCAATAAAGATAGTCATTATGTAAAACAAAACTTTTTTTTTTTTAAATTTACAAATTGTTTTAAAAACATGTGTTTACAATATAAACTTACTATAGTTTCATCCTGAATTGACTTATCTGATGAGTGGTGCGCCTCTTTGTTGCTGAGGGTAAAACTTCCTTTCGACATTATAAACAATAACTATAACACACCAATAGATTTAATTAAAATTATTTAGAAGTGACAGATTTTTAAAAAAAAATAGAAAACGTTTATGTTCATCTAGGCCAACTCTCTACACTAGACAGGCGAAGACACAATAGCTTAAAGGTCGAGGCTTTTGGTTTGGTTACCAAAGTACGCCGTATCGTTTGTAAACTGGGCGTCCATTGGTGGAATCAATGATGCTCCATAACAATCGGTGATTTAATGTCTAGTAGCTGGAGTGTTGAAATGAACTCTGACAGACAGATCAATTAGCTAGGTCGTAAATTAAACACATCTGTTTATAAATCTTATACACGAGCGTAAACACGTGGCGTGTTCTATGGGATTTGTGGGCCCTTACCTCGAGGTCAAGCGAATTTTAAAAAATAAGAAAAAAAAGAATTCTAGCTTTATGTCACACTAAATTGTGAAAGAAATCTGCTTAACATAGCATCAGGTCCCTATAGCTCATCACCCCAAAGTTACCTTGCCTCGCTCACTCACAGTTGGGGTGGGGGGAGGGGTGGCGACAACACCGCCCCGGGTGCGAGAATCAGTTTCTATCAGGCATCTCTTCAAGGGTGGTAGTGGACGAGACACACAGTGTCTGAACCAGTGGTGTAGCGAGGTCGGGTGTCACCCGGTGCGGCACTTAATGGTGTCACCTCCCATAGGCGTAGCGACCCTTCCCGGCGCCGGGGACAAACTTTCAATTTGGCGCGCTCTCTAGATCAACCTTTCAATTTTCGATTTTCACCCCCCGTCACACTTTCGATTTGCACCCCCCCCCCCCCCCTCTACCCTTGTAGGGATTTGTCAAATTTGCTCTTAAAAGACTATTTAGCACTCGAATTATTCACTTAATTAAGTGGGATTATCATTTTTCTCTATATATTTTGCTATTTTTTGCCTTGGTGTCACCCCCCTAAATGGTGTCACCCGGTGCGGTCCGCGCCCCCCCCCCCCGCCCCTCCCTCGCTACGCCACTGCCCTGAACGAATTATAATTCGTAAAAAAAATATATACTTTTACCAGTGTTGTCGTGCCCCCCCCCCCCCCCGAAATCCCCCCTCCCGAAAGTTTTAAATCAGTCCGTCCACCCCCACACCACCCCCCCCCAGTATTAAAATGTCTGAACGAAACACATGAATGGGTTGTTAAGCTTTGGTCTACTCTCTCCAAACCACTCACAGCCATTGCAGTGACATGTCCACTCATTAAAACCAAATTTTATAATTTCATAAACTTACATAATTCTGTCACTTAAGATACTGGAATCGTTAAAAAATACTATAATATAATGGTTTTTTATCTGTTAAAATCTCTTATCTAGATTTCAACAATACATTTTTAGCATTCTTCACATAACTGAAATGCTTAGATTAAGTCAAAATAGTAGTGATAATATCTGCCTAATTATGTCGTGAAAGCTATTCCACCTTATTTAAAAATGTTCAATAACCTATTGTTTTCAGTACAAAGCCTTAAAACTTTTAAAAGATGGAGAACTAAATTATCTAAAGCACTATAAGACTATCTGTAATTAAACAACACATCGTGATGATACTAATGAGGAGATAAGAAAATAAAAACTTGTTTTTGTTCACTAGCAGAGGCGACACTAGGGTTTCTGTGATCTCTACATTATATTACACAGTCTACAAGGCAGTGTCACTTCTCTGTCAAATTTATTACTAACTTATTTTCAGGGAGTCTACAGAATTGCAAAATAAAAAAAAATTAAACACAAAAGAGGGAAAAAAATCGATAATAGATCAGAAGATCTTAGGGGTCATCCATAAATGACGTCACGCTTTTTTTGACGATTTTCACCTCCCACCTCCCCTCCGTCACACATCGTCACAAAAAGCCAGAGGCCCCCCCCCCCCCGAAAATGACGTCACACCTCAGCCTACAACCCCCCCCCCTCGAAATTGCAGTTGAATTTTTCTTAAAACATCTATATTTTTTTTCCAAAATCTTGTCTGAACTCTGTCAAAATAGAGTATTTTAATCAATTCCTATTTCAATTTATTAAAACAGTTTCTAAAACGCGAAATAATGGCTAAAATTCGTTTTCTAACATTACTTTTTGTTAATGCAAAAATGTGACGTCCCACCATCTGAACCCCCCCCCCCTCCCCCACATCACACACCGTCACATAATTACGAACCCCCCTCCCCCCTACGAGTGTGACGTCATTTATGGAAGACTCCTTAGCGACTAATTAATTTCCTTAGTCACATTTCAAAATCAGTGATCTCCACCTTGTCTACGTATGACACCGACGCCTCTGGTCATCGTATCTGCATATGATATGTAATCAACCATCAATAAAGCAAACAATGTTTGAAACAGATTCTAGACTTTATAATAGCCTTTGTCCGGACGCAGTGTAATAGTAGACTGAAGAACTTCTGTTATCAACTGTGTTTTGGTTATCATAAATGGACATGATTACAAAATTCAATTATTTCATGTAGTTAGTAGTCAGCGATAGGCCATGTTGATGTCAAACCATGGGTTTTTGTATGCCTTTGCCTGGAATCGATGATAGTTCATGTTGTTATGTTAAAATTTGGATTTTAGCAGAAAGATAACAAGGTCGGGTGTCACCCCCTTGGTGTCAACCCCCTTTCCAAATAGTGTCACCAGGTGCGGACCGCAACCCCCGCCTCCGCCTTGTGACGCCACTATTTTGTAAATCTATGATTGCAGTTATAGTTTATGTTAAGTTAAACTGGTTTTTTTTAGACCTAAGGCATCCCTCCCTACATGTCACTTTTCGTAGGCTTTAGTCAATCCTCCGTATGTTATAATACATATGCCAGCTTTTGTGGGCCCTCAGAATCAACGATAAGAATTCTAACTCACCATGGCCGGCCAAATCAAGGTTAACAGTTTAGCGTAATGAAGTGTTACAGTTAGAAACCTAGGAGATAGCTTGAAACAAATAGAAGGAACTGGGCCTTGGAATATAGGCTAGTCTGTCCCAATGCACTGATGCTTCAGACAGGGTTACTGGCCTCACTAATCGAATTTTTTAAAATTGCCATATTGACCGGCAACTGTTACATCTGTAAGAGAAACAATTTGGGTTCCCTGATTTTGTCAGCCTTATCTTGAACCCGCCAGTGTTACCTCTGTAAGAGAAACAATTTGGGTTCCCTGGTCAGGTCAGCCTCTATTTTAACCCGCCACTGTTACATCTGTAAGAGAAACTATTTGGGGTCACTGGTCCGGTCAGCCTTAACCGCCACTGTTACATCTGTAAGAGAAACAATTTGGGGTCCCTGGTCCGGTCACACTTGAACCCGCCACTGTTACATCTGTAAGAGAAACAATTTGGGGTCCCTGGTCCGGTCAGCCTCTACTTGAACCCGCCAGTGTTACATCTGTAAGAGAAACAATTTGGGGTCCCTGGTCCGGTCACACTTGAACCCGCCACTGTTACATCTGTAAGAAAAACAATTTGGGGTCCCTGGTCCGGTCAGCCTTAACCCGCCACTGTTACATCTGTAAGAGAAACAATTTGGGGTCCCTGGTCCGGTCAGCATGAACCCGCCACTGTTACATCTGTAAGAGAAACAATTTGGGGTCACTGGTCCGGTCAGACTCATCTTGAACCCGCCAGTGTTACATCTGTAAGAGAAACAATTTGGGGTCCCTGGTCCGGTCAGCCTCTACCTGAACCCGCCACTTTTACATCTGTAAGAGAAACAATTTGGGGTCCCTGGTCCGGTCAGCCTTAACCCGCCACTTTTACATCTGTAAGAGAAACAATTTGGGGTCACTGGTCCGGTCAGCCTTAACCGCCACTGTTACATCTGTAAGAGAAACAATTTGGGGTCCCTGGTCCGGTCAGCCTCTACCTGAACCCGCCACTGTTACATCTGTAAGAGAAACAATTTGGGGTCCCTGGTCCGGTCACACTTGAACCCGCCACTGTTACATCTGTAAGAGAAACAATTTGCGGTCCCTGGTCCGGTCAGCCTTAACCCGCCACTGTTACATCTGTAAGAAAAACAATTTGGGGTCCCTGGTCCGGTCAGCCTTAACCCGCCACTTTTACATCTGTAAGAGAAATAATTTGGGGTCTCTGGTCCAGTCAGCCTTAACCGCCACTGTTACATCTGTAAGAGAAACAATTTGGGGTCCCTGGTCCGGTCAGCCTTAACCCGCCACTGTTACATCTGTAAGAGAAACAATTTGGGGTCCCTGGTCCGGTCAGCCTTAACCCGCCACTGTTACATCTGTAAGAGAACCAATTTGGGGTCACTGGTCCGGTCAGCCTCCACTTGAACCCGCCACTGTTACATCTGTAAGAGAAACAATTTGGGGTCCCTGGTCCGGTCAGCATGAACCCGCCACTGTTACATCTGTAAGAGAAACAATTTGGGGTCACTGGTCCGGTCAGCCTCCACTTGAACCCGCCACTGTTACATCTGTAAGAGAAACAATTTGGGGTCCCTGGTCCGGTCAGCATGAACCCGCCACTGTTACATCTGTAAGAGAAACAATTTGGGGTCCCTGGTCCGGTCAGCCTCTACTTGAACCCGCCACTGTTACATCTGTAAGAGAAACAATTTGGGGTCACTGGTCCGGTCAGCCTCCACTTGAACCCGCCACTGTTACATCTGTAAGAGAAACAATTTGGGGTCCCTGGTCCGGTCAGCATGAACCCGCCACTGTTACATCTGTAAGAGAAACAATTTGGGGTCACTGGTCCGGTCAGACTCATCTTGAACCCGCCAGTGTTACATCTGTAAGAGAAACAATTTGGGGTCACTGGTCCGGTCAGCATGAACCCGCCACTGTTACATCTGTAAGAGAAACAATTTGGGGTCACTGGTCCGGTCAGACTCATCTTGAACCCGCCAGTGTTACATCTGTAAGAGAAACAATTTGGGGTCCCTGGTCCGGTCAGCCTCTACCTGAACCCGCCACTTTTACATCTGTAAGAGAAACAATTTGGGGTCCCTGGTCCGGTCAGCCTTAACCCGCCACTTTTACATCTGTAAGAGAAACAATTTGGGGTCACTGGTCCGGTCAGCCTTAACCGCCACTGTTACATCTGTAAGAGAAACAATTTGGGGTCCCTGGTCCGGTCAGCCTCTACCTGAACCCGCCACTGTTACATCTGTAAGAGAAACAATTTGGGGTCCCTGGTCCGGTCACACTTGAACCCGCCACTGTTACATCTGTAAGAGAAACAATTTGCGGTCCCTGGTCCGGTCAGCCTTAACCCGCCACTGTTACATCTGTAAGAAAAACAATTTGGGGTCCCTGGTCCGGTCAGCCTTAACCCGCCACTTTTACATCTGTAAGAGAAATAATTTGGGGTCTCTGGTCCAGTCAGCCTTAACCGCCACTGTTACATCTGTAAGAGAAACAATTTGGGGTCCCTGGTCCGGTCAGCCTTAACCCGCCACTGTTACATCTGTAAGAGAAACAATTTGGGGTCCCTGGTCCGGTCAGCCTTAACCCGCCACTGTTACATCTGTAAGAGAACCAATTTGGGGTCACTGGTCCGGTCAGCCTCCACTTGAACCCGCCACTGTTACATCTGTAAGAGAAACAATTTGGGGTCCCTGGTCCGGTCAGCATGAACCCGCCACTGTTACATCTGTAAGAGAACCAATTTGGGGTCACTGGTCCGGTCAGCCTCCACTTGAACCCGCCACTGTTACATCTGTAAGAGAAACAATTTGGGGTCCCTGGTCCGGTCAGCATGAACCCGCCACTGTTACATCTGTAAGAGAAACAATTTGGGGTCCCTGGTCCGGTCAGCCTCTACTTGAACCCGCCACTGTTACATCTGTAAGAGAAACAATTTGGGGTCCCTGGTCCGGTCACACTTGAACCCGCCACTGTTACATCTGTAAGAGAAACAATTTGGGGTCACTGGTCCGGTCAGCCTCCACTTGAACCCGCCACTGTTACATCTGTAAGAGAAACAATTTGGGGTCCCTGGTCCGGTCAGCATGAACCCGCCACTGTTACATCTGTAAGAGAAACAATTTGGGGTCACTGGTCCGGTCAGCCTCCACTTGAACCCGCCACTGTTACATCTGTAAGAGAAACAATTTGGGGTCCCTGGTCCGGTCAGCCTTAACCCGCCACTTTTACATCTGTAAGAGAAATAATTTGGGGTCTCTGGTCCAGTCAGCCTTAACCCGCCACTTTTACATCTGTAAGAGAAACAATTTGGGGTCCCTGGTCCGGTCAGCATGAACCCGCCACTGTTACATCTGTAAGAGAAACAATTTGGGGTCACTGGTCCGGTCAGCCTCCACTTGAACCCGCCACTGTTACATCTGTAAGAGAAACAATTTGGGGTCACTGGTCCGTTCAGCCTTAACCGCCACTGTTACATCTGTAAGAGAAACAATTTGGGGTCCCTGGTCCGGTCAGCCTCTACCTGAACCCGCCACTGTTACATCTGTAAGAGAAACAATTTGGGGTCACTGGTCCGTTCAGCCTTAACCGCCACTGTTACATCTGTAAGAGAAACAATTTGGGGTCCCTGGTCCGGTCAGCATGAACCGGCCACTGAATGCAGGCAAAAACTAGGCTATGGAATGTGACTAATTTTCGATTAGATTGCAGTGCCATTGTATGCGGAGTTTATTGTATTAGAGCCATTTAGAGTTTGAATTAATTTGGACACAAGCAGTAGGACAGAATTGGCAACACCGACACTCCTCTGACCTGACTACGGTACAATTAGGTTACATTTTTTAAAAATTAGTACACTCCTTTTATCCTATCCCATCTCTGCACCATTGGAGTATTTCTGATTTTTAAAACATATTTTAAATTCCACAGCGTTACCGATAAACTAACTTCTAAAAACTGTTTGAAATCGATCGGTTATTAAACCATCTCAGAGCACACAATAATAATATATTGTAACACATGATGGCTTATTATATACTATGTACGCACTGTTACATTTAAAAAACAAAAACAAATTAGTGCGGGTAATTTCGACAAAGTTATTTAACACGCCGATCAGCCGAAGTGTACTGCTTTCTATGGCTTTTAGTACTACAGGCCAAAGTTGAACTAGTGGAAAGTTCTTAAATTATTTTATTTTACCAACATCGTCCTGTATTGGTCCTTTTTTTTGTTTGAAGTGATTTTAATTGCATGCCGCATGTAGATATTAATAGCAGACAATAGTAGTCCACTGACTTGTGTAATGTTAGGGGAAGGCAACACATATGCTAGTGCCTAGTGGTGGTGTAAAAGTTGTTATAGTTAATGCCCCAGTTACTGTCTGACCAACATTCTAATTCTAATTCAGACGCTCGCCACAAGATAGGTGCCTTTGTTAACTGATAGTTATGATAAGCCAACAGTGATGAACAGAGGACAATCATTAAAATAGGCGCATCTATTTGACGTTCACGAATTGTGTTATTTTCAACACCATTTTTGTTTATTTAAATACATTTTTATTTCCCGAAAAAGGACCAATGTCCTACAAAGTGCTTGTATTGATTAATATTTTTTTTCCGAAAAAAAAAAAAGGTGCCATTGTCCTACAGCTGCTCGCAGGGGAACAGCGCACATTCTGTGTCATACGCCAGTGGCGTAGCCAGGATCGTCTCAAGGGGGGGGGGGGGGGTTTCCAATTTTTACCCGGGGACAAACTTTCGATTTGCACCCCCCCCCCCCTCAAACTTTCGATTTGCACCCCCCCCCCCCTCAAACTTTCGATTTGCACCCCCCCCTCAAACTTTCGATTTGCACCCCCCCCCTCATACTTTTTATATATCCCGAGGGGTCTATGGGGGGGGTCTATGACCCCCCCTAACCCCCCCCCTGCCTACGCCACTGCTTAATGCACCAACATCAACGCACCCTTACACTACTTACACCATCTACGTGAAGGTCGCCCAGAAATCACGCACACACTTGATTATAATAACAATAATAAACAAACGAGAGCATACGGTTTGATAATGACCTTCAGTTGCAAAACGGCCTAATTCCTGTTACTCAAACTGCAGGTGCCACAAAAGATAAATGCAAGCAATTTAAGTGGTCCTCGATTATAGGTTTTCAAGTATAAAAAACTTATTGCTTTCTTTTTTTTTAACCCTATCCCTACAACCCTATTTCACTGTATTCGACTACAAGGCGGGTCATTTTGACCCGTATACTTTTTATATAAGAAACTATTATTACATATGTAAATTTTTTATAGCATAACTATTATTTTAATGATAAATGGACACTAAAATTATAGTGTATACATTTCTACACTAAATTTTAGTTTTAGGTATTATATTATTATACTTTTTAGGCATAAATAAAACTAGACGTTACTAAATATAAAAACTTGTACCTTTACTATCGATTTATTTTTCATATGCAAGAAAACTTAATCACAATTATTATCAGTTTGCACAGTAAAGCTATATAGACTAGAGATAGAATCTATATATTTGACAAATAGTTATTTTACCATCTAACATGTTATCGTATCTCGCATGACTTTTGTTTGGATGACGCTATTGGGCCCAACACTCAGTGAGTGGTTCAGAAGGCTTCTTTTTGTCTACTATTTGATCTAATGTGAATTGCAGTAGCTTGGACATAGTACTCTGTGCTCAATGCTCACAACTTGGGGCAGAACAAACTCTTTTGACAATATACACATTTTGTAAATCTGCTGCTGTCTATTTGTAATAGCTGTCGCTTTATATTTCACCTTATTGGGGACATTAGTTGCAAATTGAAAAATATGGTCATTAGCTACCACTTAGTTTGCCCATTGGGGCATATTGCTAGAGCCATACATGGATGATTTCATGCAGTCTTTCCATTTTGATGTCATCATTTTGGCATCAATATGCTTGCTTGACACAGTTTAGTAGCCAAAAACTTAGTTCAATGTAAAGTTCAAAGTTATCAGAGATTGATACATAAGTCATCTCTATTTCAATATCCATTGATTTATCAAAATATGGTTCCATGTGCTTCAAAGCTGTAGTCAAGGAGTTGGTCCTATTTTACCCAACTATGGTTGGACTGTCTGAGGTGACATGGTCTAACACCCACGGACCATAAAACTTAACTCATCAGATGGCTTTTGTCGCAAAAGACTGCATAGATACAAATCAATATTTGCTTCCTGCTGTATCTTTATTATATCAAAGCCTATTACACAACATTCTAAATACTTTATTGACAGTATGGCCCTAATTTCCAAATTCAGCAACAAAAATAAGTTCAGGTCTGATTTATCGCTTTCAAATTGATACTGTATCCAATGAACCCATGCAGTCATCAGTTGGTATGTCTTTGTATCTCCTTACAATACAACTTCTCTATGTGTAGGCCCAAACCTAACAATCCACAACAGTTTCATTTGTAACAAGAAGGTTGAGTCTAAAAACATGCTATCAACATCATTGAACAAATTATTGTTGTGCTTCGGCGCTGAAATAAATGTTTCTAATTGGTGTCTTTGGTAAGGCAGGAAGGGATACAAACTTATGAGCCCAAAAGGTCTACCCCCAAGGGAAGTTGTTTGAAACTTCTATAGATTTATACCACTTTCCCCTACACTAGTAGAATTTTTCTCTATATAAATGTATATGGGTCAATTTGACCCATGTTAGTAGGGAGAGGAATAGTGAACCTAAACCTGCTCACCCTCATGCACACGTGCAAAATCAAACATTCATTTTTATGTTGAAATAAAGCAATGTATGTGTAGGAAGCATATCTAGAAGCTCAAAACAATTGGTCCAGTGGTTGACCAGTAATTAACTAAAATGTAGCATTGTCGGGTCAATTTGACCCGCCTTGTAGGGATAGGGTTAAATCTAATTTCACTAGGCCTAACTGAAGTAGAGCGAAAATACAACCAATGAGCCTATGGTCAGTCTTTTTTTTTAAAGATTCAAATTGATGTATAATTGTAATTAAACCGTAGATATTATAGTAAAGTAATATTTTTTAATTAACCCTATTTTCGTTTTCATTATCGCCTTTCCTTTTCCTGTTTCATGTTACGAGACAAGGGACATCTTTGTGAGTACTCCAGTTCAATCTCTATCAAATCCATTAAAAATCGCATATTTTACAGTACGCACAATTTAGAAAGATAAGATTATCTTTATAACGAAAATAACCTTTAAATCTAACTATGTTTTTCTTTCAAATATTTAGGAGGATATCCGTTTCAACATGTCTGACGCGGAAGGGTAAGCAAATTGAAAGTCCCTACTTCGAATGAAATATAATTCTTATACTTAGGCCTATACATAGAAAAATATACTTTTTTACCAATGTGGCAATGTCTCCCCCACCCCCCCCCCCAAATCTTTTGTCCGTCCCCCCACTCCCGAAAATTTCAATAGAAAAATGTCTGGAAGAATAGAAACACTGAACACTGGAATGGGTGTTCAGTACTGTTCAGCTTTGAAGTTGAAAGCCCTTTTTTATTTTTTAAAAATGTTTTTAATTTATCTAGATCTAGAGTAATCTAGACTAGTTACTTATTAAAAATATTAACTAGATCTATACTTCTAGGCCTATAGATCTAATTACTTTGTCAAATTCTTTGACACTAATCCTCAATAAATTAAAATATAAAAAATATGTTGAATGTTGGCCTAGTGAAATGTCAAACCTCAGCCTACAACCTTCTCTTCCACCCCCTCAAATAGCAACCGTTAATAGTTAATAGCAAATGTTAATATTCTTTGATATATTAAATTGAAGGTTTTGACTTTTTTCAACAGAGACGATGTCCCAACTGTGGGTGCTGTTATTTCTAATGCTCCAATGGACATTTACGAGGCCCTGCAAGAGGTTCTGAAAACTGCCCTTATACATGATGGATTATGTCGGGGAGTAAAAGAAGTAACCAAAGCACTTGACAAGTATGTTAATTTTAATGTTTCCGTGAATGCATGTATAGTTGTTTAAATTTATAAAAGACTCCATTGTAACTTTTGTTCTTGCTAGATCTAAGTGTTTTTGTTAAAGTATCCATTAACTGATAATAACTGTAAGTTAACTGTAAGTTGCTCATATGATGAAAAGTTTATAATTAAATTTTTTATGATTTGTCAATATGAAATTGTTTCAGGTAAAATCTAATTCATAATTTATTTTTCTTCAGACGACAAGCTCATTTGTGTGTTCTGGCCAACAGTGTAGATGAACCTTTATACTCTAAGCTTATTGAGGCGCTTTGTGCTGAACATGGCATCAACCTCCTTAAGGCATGTACCATTTAAAAATCAAAAAACAAATGGTAGCTGCAGTGAGGTTAATGTAATTAGTAATAAAACAGATAGTATTAGTTACCTCATAAAAATCTCATTTAAAAATCTGGGGTTTCATTAGATTTAGTTCAATTGTTTTTTTTTTTGGTAACTTTATTTGTGAATCAAAATTACAAATGGTGGGAATGCATAATTAGTTATTAATGTTGATTACATTTTGTTTATGTAGGTTGACGATGCCAAAAAGCTTGGTGAATGGGCTGGTCTTTGTAAACTGGACAAAGAAGGCAAAGCAAGAAAGGTCAATGCTTGTGGAGCCGTAGTTGTTAAGGTATTTGTTTATAAGCTTGTTTTTTGAAGATACGTTATCAGGATAATTTTCTATAGTGTGTTTGAAGGCTTGTACTTTGTGGTTTAAAATTGTTCCATCATGATGCATTCTAAAATTTTATGATTGCCTCCAGGCTTCCACAAATAATAGTTGAAGCTTAAATTTCCTTATAGTAATAAATGACTTTTCAAAATCTTTTCACAGGACTATGGTAAGGAGTCACAAGCACTTGACGTTGTGAAGGAATATTTCAAGTCCAAGTGAATGTTATCAACAGTTGGGAATTCAAAATAAAATTGGGACTATTAACAAACTATTGTTTCTGTTTGAATACTTTGTTTCTATTAATAGATCATACTTATTAAGTTAATGCCCCTTGTTATTAGAAAAATGGGTGATACAATTTTTTTAAGGATAACCAATAGCTCAATGAGCTTCTATTCTTTGGTGGTATGAAGGTTATGCACAAAACTGGTTGCATGACGCAGTCTATTATGTGGAAATTTTTTATACCTAATATATTTCACTTCATTGAATTAAAACCTTACCTTGGTGGGTTGATCTTAAACATAAAACTTCAGAAAAATGGGTAAAAGTGGTGCTACCATATTTTTTAAAAATTCAAATAATGACAGACATCACAGATAAGCTCGGCATTTAAAAAGTGGTATTAAACATTTAAATGTCATAATTATTCAGTGTACTTTTGGTTAGCAATGCAGGCAAAAAAAGATTCTTTAAAAAAAAAGTATTGAAACAATATTTGTGTGTTCAAGATAAATAACTGGACTGTAAACCGATCAACTTTCATTTCATCTTTCCTCTGGTAATTAACAATAGTAAAATACTCCAAAACAAGTTTGATCAATTTGTCACATTGTCCAAGCAACATTACCATTGTCTTGTGATTAAATGTAACCAAAATAAACAGTCTGTAAATAATGTAATGGTTTGGTAAAGATTATAGTTGCCCATAAATAACACTGCATTTTCTGACCATTTTATAACACCACTTCAACATTCCACACCTCTCTTTCCTTGAAATTGTGAGGTCATTTGTAGACGACTCTCCCCTTTATCATGGTCATTTCTTTTAAAAAAATATTGCAAATGAACAGGTTTAAGTTCTAATATCCGTTCAGATTGAATTGATATCACTATTTGATTTGTTCATGTATCGAAATCTTGGACAAGCGTTACATTACATTAATACGGGAGAAAAAGGCCATTGATTGCAGGAGTTTAACCTACTAACTTGCTGGAGAGGAAGGACATAGGCCAATTTAAATCACTGTATTAACACAGCATACGATTATTATTCTGTAAAGTATAAATAAATAGTGCAATATGTTAGTATAGAATTATTATAACCAGTGGTGGCCAGTAAAAGTAACTGTAGCAAACGCAAGGAACTGCAGCGATATAGTTTTTTTTTTGTCAATGCTGCAAATTAACCAAATGGAATTGGGAGATTAACATTAAATGAATACTGAATTCGATACTACTATTCTAATCCTTCCCTGCAACATGGATAATGTTAATTTGTTATCGTACTGTTAAGGTTAAGTTACATAGCTAATATTAGCCCTAGTGACTAAGAGTTACGGATTGTCAGTCTCTCTACTTCTACTCTGTAATTCATTGGGGAAGTTGAAAAGGCTTATCTCCCCATTGACATGCGCCAAGAATCAAAATAAACGCCATCTAAAAATTTTCATGGCTCTGTGCAGGATAATTCAATGATAAACCCTTGAGGCAAAATGACGACGTTTGCCGATCACTTTTGGGTAATTGAAAATTTCATGATATATTCAGTTATACTACGAATGGTCGGAGTTGTTTACTAAACGTTATTATTATTATTTAGATATATGGTAAAAAAACTGTTTTAAAAGTGCAGACGGACTAAAAATAAATTCTGTCCATTTTTCGGCAGTCGAAAGTAGATGATAAATTTAAAAAGAAATCGAAAGAAAATTAGATTATTTGCAATTTTAAATTGTAATATTGTTATTGATTTTGTGTTTTGATTTTTGCTGCTTTTTCAGAATGTAAATAATTTGAATACAACAGATTATCTGTTACATTTTTTTTATTAAAAAATTCTTTACGATACACACTCAATACCGGAAATGATTTTTTAAAGACACACCTCCTCTTCTTAGTCTTCTAAGTTCTTGTTTTAGGTCTTAGTGTTACTCATTTCTCCTCTTCTTACTCTATTACTAGAATTCTAGTCTAGATTCTCCTCTGCCTTTTTAGACCTGTAGACCATAATTTTATATCTAACCAAATTCTTAAAAAAAAGCTTTAATCCAGGTCCAGCCTAGGCTAAAATTCTAGATCTATTAGTATACTATACGAGAAAAATGGCCCGTTGAGGAAGGGTACAAGGGCGCTAGGCTGATAGTGCTGTCTCTTTTCTCTAAACTAAAACCAACCCACCCCCCCACACACCACCCCCACCCCACCCCCACACACCACCCCCACCCCCACCACACACCACCCCCACCCCACCCCTCACCCCCACACACCACCCCCTCCACACACCGCCCCCCCAACCCCACCCCCCCCCCCCAAAAAAAACATGTCTACCGTCCCATTCAACGAAATATAATTATATACTTTTTCCAGTGTCCGCCCCCTCCCAGAAAATTCTACCCCCGCCCCCGAAAATTTCAAGTACCCCCCACCCCTCTCCGGGGAGGAAAAAGTCTGAAAGAAACACTGAAACCAACCCACCCCCCCACACACCACCCCCCACCCCCCCCCACACACCACCCCCCACCCACCCCCACCCCTCCACCACCCCCCATCCCCCCCACCCCACCCCCCACCCCCACCCCACCCCTCCACCACCCCCCACCCCCCAAAAAAAACATGTCTACCGTCCCATTCAACGAAATATAATTATATACTTTTTCCAGTGTCCGCCCCCTCCCAGAAAATTCTACCCCCCGATGAGGAAATTTCTTTTGAGTTGGGGAGGGGGGGGGGGGGGGGCTCAGACGTTCTTACGCGGGGGGTGGGGCTTCGCCCCTACCCGAAGAATTGTATGCAAGAAACTCTTCACGCAAACCATTTAGATTAGACAACATTTCCTTTTTTTCAATGTTTACGCGATAATCAATGACGTCATATTACTGTGTGCACTCTCTGGTTTGAGATTATGTTCTACTCTACGCTAAATGTGTCGACGTCATATTTCGTTTTTCGAATTACTGTGCATGTTTTTATTTTGCTTGTGTTTTCTCTAGAGCGTTCTTGTCAGACAGAGCGTTCTTGACAGACAGAGCGTTCTTGTCAGATAGACAGACAGCGAAACTATTATTATAGATTAGCCTATTACTTAGGCCCTAATATTAAAATTAAATAATGGCCTTCTTAGTTCTTAGTAAAGTTAGGACATGTTGGTGGTGGGTGATTAAGAAAAAGAAAACTGAGATTAATAGTTCATAGAAGAAATCTGACAGGCAATCAAAATGTCCTAATGTACAGTTTTAAATCCTTCATTGTAACTAATAGGCAATTAATATCTTTAAATTAAAACCTTAATTATTCAGTGACTTAAGTCATAAAAGCCTGTTGTCTGGTTGCTGAGCCAGCTATTGCCAGATAAGATTAGAGTAGAGTAGTAGTAGGCAATTAGGGCCCTAGTAATAGTTTTTTGTTGTTTTGGGGGGGGGGGGGTTGTTTTGGGGTTGTCATCAATTATATATGTACTGGTCTCATTACTACAATCATACAATGCAATATCATACAGTATAAAGTATATTATAATAGGCCTAATAATTTTTGTTTTAAGTAGGCTATGCCTAATGTAGAAGTTTTTTGTTTGGTATGGAATGTACATTATTAGACATTTAGTAATAAAACAGATAGTGTTAGTTACCTCACAAGTTAAAGACAGTTGCAAATACTATGGATGTTTTGACCCAAATTACTAGACATGAATGTTTGACCCATTTTTGCATCCATATAATACATTAAAGAGCTGCGTTTATGGAGTATTTGTATTTGAAGTAATAAAATACATTCATACAATAAAATACATTGATTTGACTATTTCATATTTATTGTTTAGATGCTAAACAAATCTATTTTAGGTAGAAGCTTTTTGCCAGTGCTTAATAAAAATTAAGGAAGGGGGATATATTTTGTATATATTAATCAAAATGATTTTTTCTGTGATTAGCAGTGGAAAAAGCATACATCATGGAAAAGAGTTGCCTAAAAAGGGTGTACATAACTGGAGGGGGATGCTATTTTGCAGAAATATTTAATATTGATTTAAATTTTTAAAAACTAACAAAAAGATATCTAGCCATCAATAAAATACCTTCTTACTTTTAAGTACAAAATGTATTATCTATTGATTGTCAATAAATAAGATTTGATTTTTACTGACTCATTTTGAGTAGTTAAAATCAGAACCCTCATAACCAAAGGAATAAGAAAGATTCTCAAGGCACAATATAACTTTACAATGACAGTTTTTATTAGAAACTGTTCAAGCCTGTTATGCATCCAGACCAGATAAACATATGATAAACTGTTAAATTATAAGAGATCTTACAGCGTCAAGCTCCTTGTCTCTCGTACATGTAAAAACCCTTCCTCACTATCTCCAGAAATAATTTTCTTGCATTGCTATTGTCTACTTGATCTTACAGACAGAATGTAAGATTTTATGATGTGAATGGCAGCATCTATTTTTTTTTCACCTTATAGTAGATTCTCTTTGTTTGAAAATTCATCTATTAAACTTTTTAGCTGAATACTCATTACATGAATAAAATATAGCCTGGTTCTAATTTAAGTTATTAAGTGATGTCCTCTACAAAATGAATGTCAGCATTTCCAATTTCTATATTGCTATAGTAATCGATGGATGTTTTCTTGCAAACATGATACAAAACCAGTTTAATATGCACATTCTCGAAAATATTGATCAGTATGAGATTTAGATCTAAGCTGGAAAAATATTCTTTCTCTATTTTTATAAATGTTAAACATAGTAGCCTTCATTATCTTATTTATTTCAATTCCTTTAATCACGTAACCCTTACATAAAATGATTTAGTACTTGTGCTGAATAAAACATACCATGATACATAAACAGTTTTGAGTTAGAGTTATATTAACATTTTTCTTCTCTAGGGTCCAAAAAACAATGGATATTTTGCACTGTATCATAACATGAAACATGGACAGACATCAACTAAAGAACTTATTGACTTTCTCAGAGAAAGGTTGGCACGTTTAAATTTAAAAAAAAATTTAATCTAAGACATTACAAAAAAAGAATTATAAATATGTTATTTATCAATGAGATTACATTTATTACTATTGTGAAAGATAAACTATTTATTTATACACAGTTGTACAGTTGAGGAAAATTATAGCAAGCTACTTAGTAAATTGGCTAAATTAGCTGCCAACACACCACCAGTAGGGTAAGATTATGTTTCAAATCATTTGAAGCATGTTAAATGTTTTATGTAGTTTCTTCACTTTAGTTTTAAATTAATAATCAATCATCTACAAAAACACATTTTATTATTTGATTAATTTTACAGAACTTTTGGTCCATTTTGGAATATCTTAAAATCCTTGATTGAGAAATTATCAACTGTACAAATGCAACTGGTACACACATGGTCAGACCTTATCAAGGATATGATTCGTTACAGTGAGGAACAGCACAAACGTCATAAAACGGTTGGTAGCTAAGAAGCTTGTTACTCTGCCGATAATAAATTTAATGCCACATTATAACGACACTTGTATCACTTTGTTTTAGAAATGTAATTTACCTACTTTTTTTTTTAACAGATAAAAGAAAATGAACAGGCTACACTTGATTCTGTACAGACAATTCAACAGACTACCACAGCATTGCACAAGGTTTTTAAAAATTTAATACAGCTTAATCTAATCTAGTTTGAGGCTCTCAGTTTTATGATGGCATAAAAATACATTATAATTTTTACTTTTATGGGGAAAAAAAAGCAATATTGTAGTTTTGAGTTCGTTTCCATTATAAATAATACATCCAGTATGTTTTTGGAAATGTGTTTTTAATGTATTTAAAAAAAAAATTCTAGGCGAGAGAGATCTACCACACACGATGTTTGGAGATGGAACGGTTGAAAAGAGATAATGCCTCTCAAAGAGATATAGAAAAGGTATGAAATTGTTTTGAATTAGTAAAATCTGGCTAAAATTAGACATTTTAAGGTTTTGTATTAATGGAGTATTTTTTTTTTAATAAAGACGATGGGCAGACGTTATTTCCAGTTTGCTTATTTTTTCTAATTGATTAATAGCTCTAAATAAACAAACTTCTAATTTACAGGCAGAAGTCAAATACAAGAAAGCTAGTACGTATTATTCTTTGATGTATTACCTAAAAATTGCTTAAAAATTAATATAAGGACTAGTTAAGAATTTTGAAACATGATGGTATTGGTTTGAATATTTTCCACAGTGGAAGAATATAAAAGTTATATTGAAAAATATAAGGAGGTCAGAAATGTTTTTGAAGAGAAAATGGTTGGGTCATGTCATGTAAGTAAATTCACTTTTTTTTTGTTATCAGTCGGTGATAATTTTGATATAATTAATCGAAATAGTTGTTTTACTTTTTTAGGATTTAGTGTTTTGGGTATTTTGTAGTATATTTTACATTTATTTTACTTAGCATTATCAAGAACTGGAAGAAGAGCACATATGTCAGATGAAGGACTTTATAGACACTTTTGCCAAATCTTGGGAGAATGAGCATGCAGTACTTGGACAGGTGGCTGTTTTTTTCAGATTCTGAATAATTGTATTCTGTTGTTATAACTATTAACATCAGTGGTTTCAGTAATGGTATATGTAAAATTATTTTATTTTTATCTTCAGGTACATAAGGAATTTAAGCAAAACTGTGATGAAATGACAGTACAGAAACTAATATCTACATTCGTAGAGAAAAAAGGAACTGGTAATGAAAAGCCAGGTAGGATAAGTGTAATTTTATTGTAAAAGTAAAAAAAATAACATGTTTTATTGCTGTTTGTAGTAAAATTTGTTTTTATCTGGAATCTTAATGTTCATTAGACTTGAGGATAATGCTAGGCTATAGGTTAATGTATTTACTAACTGGATACACAATTAGAGAATATTGTTTTGACATATACATTTGAGAATATTTTGACTGATTCTACTCTGCTAGGTCCAATGGAGTTTGTAGAGCCAGATCTCTCCTCACTTCTAGTCAACAGACCCATGTCTCCTGAGTTAAATGGGGACAAGAGGGATAGCGTAGTGGAAAAACAAAAACAAGGTTGGGAATTTTTTTTACTACTATCATAAGTTGGACTCATGGTTTTATAATTTTTACTCTTGATTAGAATTTAAAAAAAATTAATGGAAGTATTACAATGTGAAGGTCTCTAGACAGGAACTGCAACAACTCTTAAAATTTTTAGTACTTACCGTTTGCATGATACTACTATCCAGATATGTTGGCAACCACTTTACCTAGAAATAATTGACCCATATCCTGCAGTACAGCAGTAAATTCAGTAATGTTGTCATGATTGAAATGTTTAGTACTTCCCAGTCATGTGATATGATCTACATATCTTGAGAACCACTGACCCAGAAATGAAGTGACTTTTACCCTACAACAGTACTGCATGTACTTTTTAAAATTGATGCCCCTTTTCTTTTTTTTTTTTTTTTCATTGGCTGCTACCTAGAGTATTTAGTCTTGGTCTGGTTTTAACACAGAGTTCCCCCTGGAATTTTTTAGCCATAAAATTGAGAGTTGGGTTTATTTAAACAAAATGTTCTTTATTTCCCTCAAATAAAAGCAGTTGTTTATCATTATAATTTATAAGTACAAATCCGAAATGCTACTAAAGTATTCTTGCTTTCCAATCGACAAGTCAGCCGCTATTCAGCTCTCAGAAGCCATATCTTTATATTTAAAGGCTACCATTGTTATGTTCTCAGCTGTCACTATACAATTTGATTACAGATGCAGTGTCAGTAACCCCAACCTTGACGTTCAGTGGTAATGAACATTTAGTGAAATCTAATAAAACCTCATATTGTTTATTCTGTCTGATAAATGTTTAAAAGTTTAACATATTGCTAACTTTTGCTACATTAACCTAAAAAAAAATGACCGTTTTTATGCTAATTTGTCGGAAAATCCTGAGAAATATGAACTTAAAAATTAATGATATTTTTTTTTTTATCTAGTCAAGAAATTAAACTGTTTTGGCTTAAAAATAATAACATTTTTAAGAATGTACAGTAGTCCTGGTCGTTACTTAGCTGCTTTGTTCTATTTCTCAAAGCATACTAAGAAATTCAATAGTTCTGTACCTGCTTATGTTATTAATATTAACCCACCCAATACCCTCTTCATATGAGTGATTTTTTTTTTCTTTCTACCTAAACCATCAATTCTAACAAATTCTCTTCTCAAATCTGAAGAGTACTTGATATTGTCTTTCTAATTTTTAACCTTTTGCTAGACAATAAAAAAACACCCATCATATTAGTGAGAAATTCATAGTTTTTTTAAAAATTACATTAATAATTAATCAGCACAGCATAAAATAATATTTTTAAAAATCATTAAAAACGTTGTATGAATTGTATTTATTTCCAGTTATAATTTTGTTATACAGCTTCAAAAGTTTACCCTTACTGAAGAATTTTATTTTTCTTACTAATGAAGACAACTCTGTTTAAATACATGCAAATGCTAGATTGGATAATAATTATTTTAAATATTTTACAAATATTCAATTATTTTATATAGATTTAAAAAATGTTAAGTTTAGAGATACTTTCATGTTTCAAAGCAATAGAAACATGTTTCTGGCATGAAAATACTGCTTGCCAAAGTCCTTTTAGTTTGGTATTAAATATTGTACTGTAACATAGGTCTTCAAGTACAAATTGTGAAGAATTTGATGAGCTACAGTTGCATTTCTTGGTGTTTTTATTGTGTACATCTTACACATTAAGCCAAAATCCCTTCCTAGATAAAAATTACATTAATATATCAACTTTAAAATTTTAAAAATATTTATTTACATTGTATAAGAGTATATCAAAGTTGAAAACAGTTGAAACAAATATTTTATTTTAAATAATTTTTTTTTGCTCTAAATCATGTAACATTCAGAAAATGTTAAAAGGCAGTGTGATAAATTTCATTTATGTGAAGATGGTTTATTGAAAATTTTGCTTACTTTTCCTCCTTGCTGAATACTGAAATGCATTGATCTATGGTTAGATAGTAGTAATAATTGCTTGTCTGCACTGGGGGCCAATGGTTTAGTACAGAGTGTCTTGAGGTATCCTGTAGGATATTATGTGATAGATAATTCCCACCTTTTTAATCCATTTGTGAATTCTTTTGTTTCTTCATATCTTTTTCTTATGTATTTGCCCTCCTGAAATTCCAGGAACTCCTGGAAACCTAAAAACTCCTTGAAATATAATGAAATCTCTTGATATAGATACTACTTTCTTGAAATTACAATAGTACCAGTAATTTAAATAAATGAACACACTAAACAAGCAGGGGTGGGGTTCAATCTGTAATTTAGCCTAGGAGGGATACTAGAGTATTTATCTCTCTGCCTTTATAAACTGCTGGGCTGGTCTTGCATCAATTAACACCCAGGTGAAATAATTTGTTTCTCAGTTGCATAAGTTTTTGTAGTCCACACAGAAACCTGAAAAGTATTTTATTTTTAGTTTCATTTTCCGGGACATTTAAATAAATGCCTCTTGATATGACAATTCATTAGGTGACTGCTACAACTTCCATCCAGCAGATATTAATTTGATTTACTTAGACCACACGTGAACACAGTGGTTGGGTCAATTTATTTTGAATATTCCAAGAGGATTTGGCATAAGTATAAAAATTATAGAAAAATTACATTATTGAGTTAGCTAGAGTTTAGGAACTCTGCAAGGTACATTGATAAATAACTAGACTCTGTTAGTGTACCAGGCATTGGAGTTTAGTAATAGGCAGCTGTGACTGTACATTGGAATAACACCATCAACTTGCAGTTTTAAAAATTTATAATACACCCATTTTTTTCTACTTAAAATTGATTTGCAAAAAAATTCTTCAATCAATGCTGTACTTAATACATTTTTGACTGACCTATGAACTTAATTATGTCTTCCATCCTTCCCATGTTCTCCCACTTTGTGGTTCCTGTGTTTTCAGAGGCCAGTGGAACCCCAAGCCCTGTTTTGTCTGACCAGCCAGGGCCCCTGAGCCGCAGCGTCAAGCTCCGTGTCTCTCGTACATGTAAAAACCCTTCCTCACTATCCCCAGAAATCATTTTCTTGCATTGCTATTGTCTACTGCTCGCATTGAATTATTTAAACAATTTAATTCTAGGTTAATTGTTGTGTTCTGTGAGTCTCATTTAAAAACTTTTAAAATATTTTTTTCTAATGACTTAAAAATTTTAAACATTATTTTAATACTGCGCTTTTAAAAACTATTTTGAAAGCAAATTTATGTAACTGATTTATTTTTTAATAATGTATTTTGGAATAAAAATATTAAATGAAATCTAACCTTATCGAAATGAGTCTCACACCTTTAATTTCTTGTTTATTTTTGTGTTCGTCAGTTCAGGAAGAGTGAGCATAAGTTATAGTGAAGTATTAAAATAACCAAATGGATGCTAAACCATTGTGTATATATATATATATATATATATATATATATATATATATATATATATATATATATATATATATATATATATATATATATATATTATACATTATATACAGGTGGCTATGCAGTGTTTATCATAAGTGGGGGAGGGGGAGTAGGAACTTCATTTTCCTTAACTGACACCTTTTTGTGCCTGGTTTATGGTTGTTTTTATCTTTCTAATAATGTTGATTCTCTTTTTAACAACATTTTTAGAGATAAAAGTCTTCTTTTTCTTTCTGAAAACTATAAATATTATTAAACATTATAATAACAGACTATACGAGTTCTATTTTAAGGTATTAAGTTAGGAATGTTAATTTTTTTCTTCTTTTGTGATCATTAATAGCATTATATCCTTATATATTTAAATTTCAAAGTGCATCTTGAAGTTCCTTTTTATATATTTATCCACTTTGGATCAGTATTGGCCACTAATAACTTGTAAATGAATTATACAACTATTATAACTGAATGATCAAAGGCATGTTTCCATTTTAAAAAGTAAATTTAAATGTTTAACTAATGCTAAGCTAATTATGCTACATGTTTAGGCTTATTTTGATTTTTGCAATTAATGCTTTTTTTTTGTACAAATAAATTATTCTCAAAACTTTTATCTCTGCTTTAATAACTGAATGTAAATCCTATCCATTCATTGTCTGTGTGTGAGGCAAATAAGGCCTCAACTCCATTTTATGTCATAAGGTTTAAACAATGATAATTCATAGCTGTATAAAACACAGCTTTATCTTTAATTACTGTAAAAATAAATCATTTTATTTTAAAGATAATTTTGAACTAAATATGGCACAATATATTATGGAAATCTTAACATTTAAATATTAATGTTATAAGATCAACATTTGTGATTCTAATTTAATTTAAAATCATTGTTCAACTTTATATGACCATATGTATAAAAAATACATGTCATATTTAATTCATTATTGTCTGCTTGGTAACGCTACATTATTTGATAGCTTTATATAGTGAGAACTGTCTTAAAATTTTACTCACAAAATACTTTCCCTTGTGTTTTTTTTTTTGTGACTAGATGTATAAATATAGAACAAAATATAGCTGGTATAATTTACCTCTGTTGTTAATTTAAAAGTTACACAATTTCTACACCTATTATTTTCAATTAAAAACTATGCTGACGATGAAGCTCTACTTTTCACCATCAAGTTATTTTTTTTAAAATGGAGTTACCTGACAATTTTGTATTTTGATTATGCAGCATTAGGATTAGAAGGTGGGAAAGACATGTTTTGTTAGTGCATCCAAACTTTAGGTGCTTTCCATCGTTGCCTGGGCATTGTTAGCTATTTCCTTATTATTAGTCTACATTTTCTTGGTATAACTTTGTTCAACAGTTTAATAATGTGTTAAAAAAATCATAATTGCCTGCAGCCTTTACACTTTCATTCCCTTAATCAAATGTCCAAGTTCTTCAGTTATCTCAGTCAGAATCGAATGTTACAGGAATGCTGTTTTTTTAAGTTTTAAACACACCACAAATGTTAGTTGTAAATTAACTTCTGTTTAGACGTTATATATGTCGAATGAATAGAGTTTATTTGCTGTTGTATTTTTACTTATTTACAAAGAATTGAAAACTAGAAACTACTATTTTAATTATGGAAGCATGTTGTACTAAAGGAAATTTAAAATCAAATGCTTCTTCAGACAGGGTTTATTCTTGATGAAGGCGTGTTGCTTGTTTTCTTTTTTTACATGATTTCAGTTGTCAAAGATTAGTTTATACTCTAAAGTTTGTATTTAGGAAAATAGAAACCATTCTTTGTTGAGGTGAGGTAAGGCTAGAGAAGGCAAAATGGTACCACTGTTTTAGCAGTTTTCATTACATTTTTCCAATTACCATCTTAATAAAAGAATCATCACAACTTAAAACAATTTTTACTGTGAAGTTTTTTCCTTCTAATTTAACAAACCAAAAATAGCTCAGCTGCTTGTAGACTAAAATTTCAGTTAGTTTCTGTTAGCATCTATCTACCATACATTAGTACTTTTAAATGTGCCTAATATTAGCTGTTTTATTTGTTGAAACCTATATCTTTGATGTTGCCTAGTCAATGAATGTTTTGCTGTTGGTGCTAGTATTGCCTGTATTTTAAGTTGGGCATTGATTTTTATAATTTTATCTTTATTATTTTTATAAAAAATGTGTTAATTTTCTTCTCTGTTATAAAAATAATGATTATTTAACAGTGTAAGAGTTTTCATTTGTTATTAATTATTAATCTTAAAAAAATAAACTATATTTGTGTTATTTAAATTTAAAGTTGATGTAAATTGATTTGTATTTCATTAAGCCGTAATTTTGAATAAGTAAGTTTAATTATTATCTCACAGTATAAACAATATTTTGTCTACTTTTTCAGGGTTTTTGAAAAACAAAACCAAGCGAAAGGAAAAGAAAAAGAAAAATAGCAAGAAAGACAAAGACGAAAAAGATGGTGAATCCATGTGAGTATTCTTCCTTAATCAGCATCACAGTTAATTATTCTCACTAAAAAATGTGTAGTTTGTTAAAGTCTGGTGTAATGGTTTTTGAAGTAAAAAAAAGTTTAGTAACTTTTTTTTTTTAATTGTAACTATTAATAAGCTTTACTTTCCTTTTATGTAGAGAGGCAGATAATCAAGATCCAGTGAGTTTTTTAAATTTTTAAATCAATATTTTAGGCCATGAAATTGTGTTTATTTAAATTTCCATCTTCTAGACCTGCATGCAGGTTAAGCAGGGTCAATCAAAACATAACTGCATAATATAATTAAAATCATAAATTTATAGACAATACATTTTGTATTAGGTAAGTTATTTAATCGTTACGTTAATGTCACTCTGGTTTGCTTAAATTTTTTAATTTTTACTCACAAGAACATTGAAGTGGATGAAGAAGGCTACAGAATACGACCAGAACACCCCATGGACAGTATCTTTTTATTTGTTACTGGTTTATGATTATATAGCATATACCTCACCTGATTTATTTAATATACTCTTTCTATCAGCTGACCTTTAAAATTGGTTAAGTTTTCTAAACACTGTTTATATGATTGATTATCTAGACATAGTTACCATGAAAACAGTAGACTTGTTTTGAATTTCTTGACATAGTTGCCATGGAAATAGACATATTGTTCCTAGTATTTAAATCTTTGAACCTTAACTACCACCAGACAATGGAGACAAAAACAGTTGGTATTCCAGCGATAGCGATTCAGATTCAGGTATGCTTTTGATTTTTCTCATTTCTATGTCAATTTGAAAACCTATTCTTCACTTGCTATGCTATTGCATGGAGATATGTTTTTGTGTTTCACCAGCAGAAGAGGTTAAACATTTCAGTTTTGTTTTCCCCCAACAGAGGAAGAGAGCAGGAGAAAAATTAAAGTTGAAATCAGACCACTGAGTCCCACCAGTGGACCCTCCAGTACAGTGGAAGACATCAGAGCATCTGTTGAAGGACTGAGACTTTCACCTTCAGCCATGGTAAGACATTTAATATCATTTGTTTACATTGATCTTAAGCCTAAATATGTCTGTGTAAATACTATTAACATACTTGATTTGGAATTTTACCACCTATTATTGCAGAGGAAACGAAGTCAAACACCTATTGATAAAAAAATGAAAAGGTCACAGTCAGAGTCGGACACACTAGAGTAAGAACTACTGTTTTCCCTTCCACTGTCTTATTAGTTACAATTTTGAGGAAATATTTAATACCAAAGAAAACAAAAAAAATATATGATTTTTTGGATCATGTGACATCTAAACATTAATGATTTTTATCCCAGCAAACCTGGCAACCAAGATTTGCTAAATTTGGATTTCTTTGGTTCCAACTCGGCCGCCTCGACACCCACTGGAGTCAACTACAATGTGACCCTTCCCTCTCCACTCTCACCGCAGACAGAAATCAACTGGAACAGTACAAATAGTAGTGCAGCTACAACCCCTTCAGCAAGTATGTTGACTTTTCTAAAGCTGATAGTTACTAGCTCTATAACTTTTCTAATTTCATATAGTTGCAGTTTTGATGACTTCTTACCTTTTAATTTATGGGCAAGTGTGTTTCTATTTTTTTTTAAATTTTCTAACTCTATAAAGAAGCTGTTTCTATATAGTTTTAATGTTGATGAATTCCTACCTTAAAATTGCTGATGTTTCATGCCCATCTAATGTTGATATTAACTTATCCTTCAAATATTTCTGTTTTCCTACTTCTACCAGAGCTGCCTACTAGTAATTTTGTCTGCAATTTTAACTTTGACACCAAAGGTGTGATATTGTGGTTATGCCTAAACTGTTATGAATTGCCTTTAAAAAATTGAAATAACTTTCTGCAGTTTTTTTTCTTTTGGCCACTGTCTGTTCCTGGTCCATAGTTTTACATTCAAACAGTTTCAGATGTAGGCCTATTCCTGTACTTCTTGTTATAGGCATCTTAGGTGTGAACTTACTCTGACCCCACACATGTGCTGTGGCCATTATTATAAAGCCATATTCATGGAAAAATGTATTGATCGTGGACAGTCTCTTGATTTGACCTAACTACTCTTTTTTAAGAAAATAGAAGTTCCAAACATAAAAGAAGCTGTACAATTGTAGTTGTTTATAGAATAATCATGATGTAAATTTTAAAATATTAGTTACTGAGAATTGGGTGCTTTGGTTTGTTTTTTCATACAATTTTTTTGGAAGTAGCTTACTAAACATTTAGACTCAAATCACAATTTGTCCACTTCCATAAAAAATTGTATCATGAGTAACAAAACATCATTAAGCTGATAAATTTTGTGGCAATACAAAATTTGACTTAGTTACACCGTATAAAAAATGGGTGTGAAGTAATGGTCTTTTAGTAAGTTACGGACAGACAGCGATTATTACAGAAAATCAATGCTTCAGTTACTGAAATTTTTTTTGGTAAGCAGCTCTGCTCTATAATGTTCTTGTCCTACCCCACAATTTCCTACCCTTGTAGTTTCCCTACCCTATAATGTTGATGTTTTCTTACCCTTGTAATGTTGATGTATTCTTACCATTTAAATTTAACCTGTACCTAACTGTACCTGTTATGCACCATACACTCTAATGTAGATCAATCACAACAAATACAATGTTGTATGTTGTTTCATTGTTGTTGACTATTTCCTTTCAGGATTAAATGCTCTTCTCTGTAAGAGAGTAGAAAAAAGCAAGTAAACAACATTTCAGAAAGCACTATATAAACATTTTTCTTTTTCTTTAATAACATTACATTCCGTGGCACACTATTATTTCCAGCCAATATTCAATTGCAACATTTTTATTTTTTTATCACTTAAATGTTTAGAAATTAAATCACCATTGTTAATTTATTTTCTTCTTTTCTGGTTGTTGCTTTTGTCAGTATTAACAATCTATGCATTCTGTCTATATGTATGTGCATTAAATTATTTTCTGTTCTTAACTATATTGGCTTTGTAGTTATTCTAAGAAGATCTTTAGTGAGTCAGGTTGTACTAGCACAGCAGACTCTTTTAATGTTGACAGCTTGAACTAAATCACCTTTGTACTCAAGACACTGCTCTATACAGCTTATACATCAAAATGATATTTTAACTAATAGTTTGATTTCCACGTTCTGTTAACTAGATTGCTATTTACTTATTTGTTTTTTCTTTTATTAAAATGGCCCATAAATACAATACATTATTTAAACCTTAGTTCATGCATTAAAAAGTATTTAGACTGCACTTTTATTTTAAGTCAACATATAAAAAAGGATATGAAAAGTTTTTTCGTTTAGGTGAATTTTTAAAACAAAGCACTTTTTCTTTTCAAAGTTTAAGTTAATAAATAGCTGTGTAATAAAATGAAATGATGTAACAGCATTGATTGTTTGAATTCAGATTTTGCTGATTTTGCAAATCAGAACAACGGAAAGCAGCCTACATCCACAATCCTTAGTCCCACTTCACCATTGAGTGGCCTCCCTCCGCCAGTAGCCAGGCCACCTTCTAGAACCAGAGGCCTGATTTCTCAGGTAAGTTTTTTTTTGTAGAGTAGCCTCTCTGCCCAAGAAGCCCACCTTCTGCAACCAGAGGCCTGATTTCTAATTGTAGACATCTCAATATCAGCTGTAAAATATACTCCATTCATGGGCGGTTTTGTTTTACTTAATTAATTATTAATAGGTTTTGAGTGTGTTTAAAACATTGGCCATTTCTTCCTTGTCTTTAGCCCAAATTAAATGGTCCACTTCCAATGAGTAGATCAGATAGTAATGGCAGTATGACCTTCAACACTACCTCAATGCCTATTGGCTCGTCCAGAGGTCCTAGCCCTCTCACCATTGGCATGTCTGATTCGGTTCCATTGGCAGTGGCATTTACAGAAACCGTAAATGCTTACTTTAAAGGCCATGATGCCAAAAAGTAAGTCCTTATTTACTGGATTGATTTTTTTTAATGACTGCTTTTGTACTTGTTATGAAGAATATGTTAGTTCATTGGAAGCTTTGTATTCTGTAACAAAGATAGAATTGATTACAATACTTTTAAATAATTGATTTTTTTTTACCAGGTGTGTTGTCCGCACGATGGGCAATGTTATGATGTCTTTCCCTGCCGGTGTTGTCAAAGTGTTCACAGAAAATCCATCCCCAGCCCTGCTTTCTTTTCGCATCAAGAATGCAGACAAGTGGGAACAAGTTATCACAAATTCTTCAATTCTATCCAAGTTAGTTCAAATCTGTTAAATCTAAGTTACTTGCACATAGTGTTTTCAGATAAGAAAAACATTTATAAACTCATAGCAAAAGTATTGCATAGCCATCTTCATCAGATTTTGTATTTAATTATGTAATGATACAGCTTTATACTATCTTAAAGCTTGTTGTATCACCTCACTAAAACAGCAGATATTTCTATTTCATTTTATTAAAATTTCATGTATTTTTGCTTAGTGGAAGTAGAGTTACGAAGTTCAATATTGTATTACAGGGATGAAGCACAGAGCACTCCAGATGTTCATACATATGAGTTTAGTATGTCAAACTTAATTGATCATTTAAGGCAGCAAGGCGAACAGAACAAATCAGCGTCATACTTCAATATTGATATCCTTAAATATCAGGTAATCTTTATCTGTTATAATATAGTATTTGATGAGGTATATCCATTATAGATGAGATTTTACACAATTTTATTGTAGTTCAATATTTATTTAATATCAACAGCAGTTTAATTTAGAATTACGTTGACTTAAAACTTTTTTTTAAAGAAAGATGAGTCAAAACTGATCTTACTTTAAGACAATATATTAGAAAGACTTACATTTCATGCTATTTTATCCTTTTTGAAATTGTTATTAAACATAAATGATCTTGATTCAGGTCAAAGCCTTACCTGGAGTAGAAAGCACCCCTTTACCCCTGGTGGTGTACTGGAAGTGTGAAGAAAGTGCCACAGAGTTTCGACTAGACTACAGATACAATCCCTCTGCCATGTCGTCAGCAGTGACACTGAAAAATGTCAATGTGGCCGTCCCTGTGGATGGGGATGTTCTCAAGATGCACAGTATCCCCAACGGCACATGGTAGGCTACATTTTCTTTTACCTCCAGCAATTTACAAATTTTAGCTAGGCAGCAACCCAAGCTCTCGCAAGCCAATATAAAGTTTAATGGTAAAATTTGTAGTTTTACATTTTATACATGGTTGGAGATTCTAATTCTTACACTAGAAAAAGTGACGAGGCACTGAACCGGCCACTTAGATCTTTCAGCTCACAGCCTTGTTGACCTTCTTTTACATTGCTTTTACTTTAAATTAACTTTTTTTTTAACTGATGGATCATAAATTGGGAGTTCATCTGTTCTTTGACCTTTGCATATGAAGAGATTGTGATGTTAATCTGATGTTACTGTTGTGTCTCTGAATTGTGTCAGGTACCCATCAGAGCTTGGTGGACTCAGTGATGTCCTTTCAACCTGATTACCAAACTAAAGACAATCAACCCCACCACCCCTACTTTTAATTTAAATAAAAAATCACCAGTATTTGTCTTTTCACAGCAATCAACAAATTTGATTCTTGTATCAGTTTAGACTTAATTTTTTTGTTCCTATTATTACTGTTTTTAAAACAGCTGAAACTCAAGTGAATTATCCAGTTTTTGTGTTGTCAGATGTGTATGTGCTCAGAGCCATAATAGCCAACATATTTAATACTCGAACCAGTTGAAACAATTGTTTAGGACCTGTTGTCACCAACATTATTGTCTTTAGAAGTGGTGGAAAATGTAAATCTGCCATTTGTTTTCCTGTCACTAGGGACGCCGTAGCTAAAAGAGCCAGCTGGAAGCTGAATGACATCTCTGAGGTGAGTGAGCAGGAGTCCCAGGGCAGCATCCGAGCCAAGTTTGAGCTGGGGAAAGGGCCAACAAAACCTGTCACCACAGCCATGCAGTTTGCAGCAGAAGGAGCCACGTTATCTGGCTCAGAATTTGAACTGGCAGGTCCAGGCTACAGGATATCACTGATGAAGAAAAGATTTGCAACTGGTGAGATCTTTTTTCTCATAAGTTAATAGTCAATATACAAGTGATACCACACAGTTGATAATTGAGCATGGGGTGTAATGTTAGTCAAGCCAGACCATAGCCTATTCAGCTTGATGTGTTAAGTGATTTTAAAGAGTGCTTGAATATAATCCAGGCTGTTGTGTTTTGTGAAGTTAAGTGGCTAGGTATGTCACTAGTTGTTTTGTTTCGTAAAGTTTAAGTTGGCTGGGGATAATATATCAGTAGTTGTTTTGTTTTGTGAAGATTAAGTTGGCTGGGGATAGCGCTTATTGCTGATGTGTGTCATATATGCACAACAATCTAGAATTAGGTGCACTTGATCCAACCTTTTAACATTTTGTTTTCATTTCAATAGTTTGCCACTTATGCTCAATATATCAGTAACAATGTTATGTATTTCACAGGCAAATATTATGTTGATCCAGAGCCAACAGTGAGCTATGTATGACAGCAGTCATTGTGATGGGCAATTTGTAGCCGTGCAGTGTATGTTGATACAGTTTGAACCACTTCACATGATTTGTTCAACAAAACTACCATAATTTGGTAAAAAATATACCGGGATTCTTGCAGTAGCCTAGTTTTTACATTAGAGGTTTAAAACAACACACCTTAGAGATGCATCCTTCAAATTAAAAATTGTAATATAATTTGATTACCATGTTTATCGTTATGGATCCCAGTGTTCAGCGGCTGTGCAAATAAAACAAATTCTCTTACCTTGGTTTGTATTTATGGTGACTGTAAAGCTGAAAATAATGACATACTATGTTAATATTGCCTGCATGCATTTGTATAGGTTGATGTTGCTGTTAGAAATATGTTTTTTCTTCTAGTTAACCTACCTAAGTAGACATTGCAAGTATACTTCCTTCAGCTGTATCTATTGTTACGACTTTTAAAATAACTTTAGCACTGTTTTGACCAGTCTTTTTATATATCTGTATTTTGATTAATCAAACTTGTATACAAATTTAAAAAAAATCAAATGCAGCATTAAGATTTGTAATTATTACAGTGTTTAGGATAGAAAGTAATAATTTTAAATTAAAACTTACGTAAAGAATTGGGAGCGAAAATTTCTAAATACCTATTAAATTTATGATAGTGTTGATTAATTACATATGACTTTTAATCTATTAAGGAGCAGAAAAGTTCAGCTTTTCCATGTACTATTTAAAATTTTTTTACTAAAGGGTATCTTACATAGCAACTAAATTTTCTTTCAACATTAGATGGAGTTATATCCTCACCTCAAGGCAGCAACATCATTAATACGATTAGGAAAATAAGTTTTTTAAACAATTTCCAACAAATTGCTGTAGATTATAAATTATTTACTGACAGATTTTGGAAAGCAACAACATATGCTAGAAATTATGAATGGTTTAATCAATCAAATAAGTTCATAAAATTATTTTTTTAATAAATCCATGTTTCTTACTGAACCAAATGCCAAATTAGTTATTTCACTTTTTTAAGTTAAAACTTCTGTAGTTTTTTTTTTCTAAACAAAAATATTTAGATTGTTCTTGGCAAGGTTATTTGTAGACAAGCAAAAAACAAAATACCAGATTAAAAAAAATTTGAAACTTTAAGAAAGCACTATCAGTAGCCAACTTGCAAATTTTGATATCGCTTTATTTTCTTGTGAATACGTTTTACATAAATTTCAAGTTTACTAATGAATGTTAGTAAATGGACAAAGCCAAAAACAAATCAAGTGTAACAGTTAATTTGCACATCACAATTTCATTTATTTTTTAAAGTGATTCATTTAGAAGTATATTTATATAACTTTTTCTCTCAATAATATTATATAGCTGTTAATTTTAAAGATACTCCTTTTGTTATCAAGTTTTATAAACCTCTGTTTATATTCAGTTTTAAATCCTATTATTAACATGAAAAATATTTTAATTCACTTTTTATTTTAACCTTTTATGCCCTCCTTCTCTTGTATATTATATTGTACAGCTAAAGAAAATATTTTAAAGTCCATTGTTTTCTATGTACAAACATAGATGATTTCTTTTATTCTTGAGAAAGATTCATACCACTAATTTTGCTATCATTCCTTGATGTGTAGCCAAGTTGTTGATTGAAACTTCTCTCTATGCAGTATGTGTAAAAATATATGGGATACTTATTTTTTATGTTATCCCTGGCTATATCATTGTATTGATATTTTGTATTTTAGAACAGCAATATGTTGCCTTGTTGACCTTACCAGTAGGGAGAAAAGTTCGGGTAGGTAATCAGTGGAAAGGCATGAACTGATTGTATGGTCTCACAGCATGAAAGGATACATCAAGTCACACTTAGTTTCTGTGAAGCATTTGGTTTTACAGGCAACAACTCTCTCTGTTATTCAGTCAACACAATTACTTAATATATAAAAATGATCCTAGTATGTAAAATCATTTTGAGTTGCATGCCGTAGTGGTGTGCTGTTAATGGACTAGGTTGGTGAAACTAAGGCATTATCCATTATTGATATCTTGCAATTTAAATGAACTCAAATTATTCAAATTCCCCTAAAGAAATGCATTTTTTTTCACCCTGTAGGCTAGTGTTATCATTAATGAACGAGCTCTAATCTAAATTTTTATTTTAAAATTATCTTTACTGTAGATGTGCAGCATTGGCTATTTTTATTGATGCCATTAACATGCAATAAACCTATTTTAATCAATTTGGTTCCTGTCTATGTCAGTAGAAAACTGCTTCACCTTCATGTGGTCTTGATGGCACTTCATGTTGTTTAGCTTGTTTAATAATTAGTATATTGTGTTTCAGTAGGCTACTCCTTAAAACAATTATTTAGTATTTATTTTAGAATCGAAATAACCTTGTTAGTACTGTTAACAATTATTGCATTTATCAGTTATAAAGAATTACTAGCCTTTTCTGGTAAGATAAACTTCTCTAGTATAAGTTGTAATATCCTTGTTAATTTTTTGCTATACTTATCTTGTTTTAGAGTGCTGTAATTTAACTTTTTTCTTTAGCTTATTCAAAATATAATTGGTTCCAATGTTTCCAATCACAGCACATCATTTAAGTTTTTTTCAAATTTATCTCCTAAAAAGTAAAAGGTACAAATTTAGGAGACTATACAAGCCAAAAATAATACCTGTAAAATTATTGACGATCTAGACTGAACTATTTTTTTGTTTGGTGACATCAGATTTTAACCATTAGGCCTGTTTTATGTGTACATAATTTTTTGGTCTTTTGAAAAGACCTTGACATATCCCATTGTAGAATTGTGTGCGCTTTCCTCCCCCCTTGATCTTACTCAATTATTGTTCCACATGTATTTCACCTGCAGTTATTTAAACAGATAAGCTGGTTACTTATGAATCCATGACTTGATGCAAGTTTACCGGAGCTGAGATTTTTCTCTGGCTTTGGATGGGTTCAGACATTCCATTGTAACCAGTCCACAACATATTCAGTGTAAAAAAATACAACAAAATATATGTATCTAAATATTGTAGATATAATTAGCATGCTGTGTTTACTGTGGTTTTTTTTTGGTTTGAACATAAGAATGCACAATTGTTTGTAGATTTTTATCCCGATTTTTTTCATCTAATGAAATGAAATATAAAATAAGGAATGGAACAAAGTGGATTATATTGTTGTGTTAGATGAAATATGCTGTGATAAGTAGGTCTGTTAGTCTCAATTTCCTAGAACCCATCAACCAAGTAGTTTTCAATCTTTTAAAAATGATTATTTCTATTGGTATTATTTTGTTTGCTGATAAATTTAAAAAAAAATTGGTCTTTTTTGCCCAGTTGAAACAAGAGAATAGCAAACTCATGGAAAGAAAATTCTAATTTTTTTTTTTGCAGGACAGTTTAATTTTTACCTTGTAAAAATTCACTTTTTTGTGTGTAGAAATTTGGATGTTATTGTAACTTAAAAAAAATAAATAACGTTTGTTGCTTTATTTACTTTCAGTACTGAATAGTTTACGGCCATGTAAAGCTTTCTTGTGTTGATGCATAGTAACTTTGAATGAATTCTCAAAATGTGACCAAGCTGTTAATACTGTGTTTTAAAAAAATTGTGTTGGTTTATTAAAAAATGTTGTGTGATGAATGGCCATGTAAACTTGCACATGTGCATGTTGGTATTGTATTGTAGAAGCAGACTAAACTATTGTAAAAATGTGATGTTACACACAACGCATTCATTGATAATTTGTATCTTTTGCCCAATAGTGCCTCAAATCAGCCTCTATCAGGTATTAGTACTGGTACACACCATTTGGACCAGCACACACAAGCTGTACTGGTGCACAACAAAATGTGCTGCTCAGTCTGGTGGCATCTGAATATAAACTGACCACCCAACTATTTTGGCATGAATATAATGCTTCAATGTTTAGTGACCTTTTTTAAAAATACACACCAATTCTATGTTGGGGTGAGCTAGAAATTTTTTTTAGCTTCACTAAATTTATGTGTGTTTGAATACTTGTACGAAAGAATGGTACATTTTTTTTCAGTGAGGTGTAATTATCAAAACAGATTCTTCTTATATTTTATGTGCAGTCATGTATGTGTAGTTTAGTATCTAAAAGTGCAATACTGGTGTTGTTAACGAATTTTACAATTTTTTTTGCATTGGCCCAATCCTAGAAGGTAACCAGTTAAAATAGTAGAATCTACATGAATAATATACAGCTCTTATTTCTATGTATTACCTACCAGAGCTTTTTAACTGTGAAGGAATTTTATCTGAACTATCTTTGGTGTACAGTTCTACTCCTAGATTTAATATTGGAGGCTTAGTCTTTTTGCTTTGCCTTGTTTGAAAGAAATAAAAATTGCTAGCTTCTGATTTTGTGCCTCTATTAGAAATGGTCTTCCAAAACATGTTTTTGTTAGTCAAGATAAGGCAGTAAAAATAAAAAACGAGTTTGTCTGGAAGTGACAGTTTGATTTATGTTGACAGAAATTTTTCTTACAATAGCCAAGAGAGACTTTAATATAATCAAGGGAAGTGTAAAAATAACAGTGGTCCTTCCGAATGTGAACGACATGCATACTTGTTTATTATTTTAATTATAATGGGCATGCCATTCCTCATGGGCCTTTGTGTGTGATGCTTGTTTTTGTCTTTATGTTTATGTTACATGCACCTTCATTTTTTGGTCAAATGATGAACATTATATGTTAAAGAATTTTTTTTAGATCAATGTTCTTTTAAGAATGATGTAAAACAAATTTGAATTGATATAGATAGACCAAAATCATATCAGATAAATATATGCACTGGAAAATTATCTTGTCTTATTTTGAACTAGCTACAACTGTTTTTGGTTTAGCCACTGCTCCTCTTTCTACTTAATACAAGTCATGCATGATGACTCAGTTACAATGGGTTAATGCACACTACCCTATAATTACACTGAAGTAATTTTTTAAGATGATAGTTGTATTGTTAGTAAAGTAATGTTAGAATAATGGGTTTAATAAAAAATAATGAAAAGTAAAAAAACATTGTGTTTTGTAACATTTATAGGTTTTTAAAAAAAAAGTAAATAGCTTCTGAGGGCTATAAGCTCATACTATTTAAAAACCAGTATGATTAGTTGTTTGTGTGTGGATGGATAATTTAAACAAGTGACCTTGTTGTTGTTGATAGACTGCAAGGTTATTACTACACATGTGTTGATATAATCATAACACTGATTTTAAATAAAGTTAATTTTTCTCCATTCAATGTCTCTGGATTCTTGCTTTTTATAAGAAGTGTTTAGTGTTAAACACACATGACAATAAACTTAGAAAGATTTTCTGAAATTCTCATCAATCTGCATACAGGTAAGAAACTTCTACTTCAAAAATAATTGATTATTGTTAAATTAAGCTGAAAATCAGATAACTATTAAATATAACTTACTGAAATTATAAGCATTCAGGCGACATTAAAAAGTATATTAAACATTTAACAGCAGATAAGAGCAAGTTTTTGTATTACATTTTTTTTTTTGGGTTCATAATTTACCTCAGCACACCAAGTCTTGATAGGTATGTTATTCACATACATAGTAAATTGAATTTTTACTGTGCCATTTATAAGAGGGGACATGCTAAACTAGACTTCATAATAATATTATTAGTTATTACTTATTAGAATACAAAATAATATTTTAATTGATATTTTTTATTTTCACTTTTTTCATGTTCAGGGTAAAACAATTGGTTAAAAAATGGTCCTATCCAACCGTGGTATCGATATATAATTATTTATCAATTTAGAAGAAAATGAAAAATGTGTAGATTTTTACTACTACAACTACTAGATCTAGAATCTATAGGCCAACAAAGAATTATAAAAATTCCGATATTATAATTGTATGTCAAAATTTTAGATCTGCCACGCCCACTCGCCACGACGCATCCGGGCAGCGGCTAAATATCAATAGTCGCTCTCCTGTGGGTAAGATGGCGGATGTTGTTGTTTATTTTTATGTCAATAAATTATAATAAAATTGCCGTATGGTGCTTTCTAGAGACCATTTTTATCAGAGGAAATAAGAATTTGTAGAAACTTTTACTGTTTAGAATGCTTTTCAGTCAAAATCAATCGCTCTAGGTTTAGTTTTGTAGGTAATCTCTTTTATTCAAATACTGGAGAAACTCAATAAATTAAAAAATATTTTTTTTTTTGTTAAAAATTACTTTAAATTTAAAATTAGGGCCTATAAAAAAAATTCAGTAGGCCGCCCTGAGCCCTAACTCCAGTCCTAAGCGGCCCAAACTAGATTTAGTATCTAGATTCCTAGAGCTCATGTACTAGTGGACATAGTCTAGACTAGTCTAGAGAATCTACGAGTTATAAATTTAATTTATAAATTAATACTAATAGTTTCGCTGTCTGTCTATCTATCTATCTGACAAGAACGCTCTAGAGAAAACACAAGGAAAATAAAAACATGCACAGTAATTCGAAAAACGAAGTATGACGTCGACACATTTAGCGCACAGAGTAGAAAATAATCTCAAACCCAGAGAGTGCTCAAAGTTATATGACGTCATTGATTTTCGCGTTAACATTGAATAAAAAGGAAATGTTGTCTAATCTTAATGGTTTGCGTGAAGAGTTTCTTGCATACAATTCTTCGGGTAGGGGCGAAGCCCCACCCCCCGCGTAAGAATGTCTGAGACCCCCCCCCCCCCCCTCGGGGAGGGGGCGGACACTGGAAAAAGTATATAATTATATTTCGTTGAATGGGACGGTAGACATGTTTTTTTTTGGGGGGGGGGGGGGGGGGTGGGGGGTGTGGTGTGTGTGGGGGGTGGGGGGTGGTGTGTGTGGGGGGTGGGGTGGTTTTAGTTTAGACTTTTTCCTCCCCAGAGAGGGGTGGGGGTACTTGAAATTTTCGGGGGCGGGGGTAGAATTTTCGGGGAAGGGGCGGACACTGGAAAAAGTATATAATTATATTTCGTTGAATGGGACGGTAGGCATGTTTTTTTTTTTGGGGGGGGGGGGGGGGTGGAGGGGTGGGGGGGGTGGAGGGGTGGGGGGGGTGGTGTGTGTGGGGGGGGGCGGTGTGTGGAGGGGGCGGTGTGTGTGGGGGGTGGGGGGTGGTGTGTGGGGGTGGGGTGGGGGTGGTGTGTGTGGGGGGGGTGGGTTGGTTTTAGTTTAGAGAAAAGAGACAGCACTATCAAGCTAGCGCCCGGTGTATCCTTCCTCAACGGGCCATTTTTCTCGTTATATTATAAGAGTAATGATTAAATAATTCTCTAGGCCTAGGCCTATAGTTTTCTGACGTAAAATCGGGCCGAAGATAGATCTAGTACTCACGAACTGTAAAAGAAAAGTTAGTGGCCTAATACTTGAGGGGGGGTGGTGCAAATAGAAAGTTTGAGGGGGGGGGGGGTGCAACAAATTGAAAGTTTGAGGGGGGTGCAAATAGAAAATTTGTCCCCAGGAAGGGTCGCTACGCCTCTGGGGGGTTACCCCATTAAGTGCCGCACCGGGTGACACCCGACCTCGCTACGCCACTGATACAACTTATTAAATTTTATTCATACTATTAGTATTGTGATATGTTTCTTCAGTTTTTTGTTTGTGTTGGTTAAATCATCAGCACTTTGGAACTCATGCAGTAAATTTGCAGCAGATAGTGAGATATCAGTTATCAGCGCAATTTATTCCCACTAAGCCTACCAATTGGTTGGGGGTAAAAATGTTATGTGACCTGCTGTTTTCACACCTTTCTCGCGTTTTGTCGCTTGCATTTTACCAAGACCCACTGACTTAGCATAGAATCTACTTTTAGTACTCTGGTGGTTTATTTTATTTTAATTTCTTTTTGCCTTTCTAATCTTTTTAGCATAATTGTTTTGTTCAGTCACGGCTAATTCATAAAAATTAATAGGGCCTAATAATAAATACCTTCTCTGATAATTAATAAACTAATTAGATTAATTATGACCATCAACCATAGACGACATTTTTTCTATCAATATAAATGACTACTATAGTTAGCATTGGCCCATAAGCTATGTAGTATGTAGGCCCTATGGGGTAAGCATAAAAGAGGCATATTTTATAATTATTTATCTATTTATTAGGCCTACTCATCACTACAGCTCATTGGTTCTTAGTTATTTTAAATATTCTAACAAATTAATCCCTAGGATTTGTGATAGTTTTAAGGAGGAATGTCATTTTGGTGATGCTAGATTTAAACAAGTTGGGCTAATTTATATGGGTAAAGCCTAACACAATAAAATGATTGCTGGTAGATATAGATATTTTCATATATATGTTTGAGCTCAAACTATAGCTGCCAGTGATATTAGCTTCCAATATAAATGATTAGATCTAATTCTATAGTTGATGATGAAACAGTCATATTTGTATACTTTTGCCTTCTGAAAACTTTGCATTATGATTTATGACACACAAAGGTCTGTTTAGGTTTATATTGGATACCATTCTACCAGCGTTTGTCATCAGCTTATGCACAGCCTATTTAAAAAAAAAAAGTTACTTATTTGGTTCCTTTTCTGATTATCTTTGTTCTGTTTGTATGTTGAATTGATAAAAATTTCTTAAGGAAAATTGAATATAAATTAGATCTATAAAGTCTAGTTGAACCAAGGATATTTTATTTAGTGAATTATTTTCAGAAATGTAAAGATGATTAAAAGAAAAGAATTAAAATACTTAAATGAAGTAAAATCTTACAATTTACTTATAAAACTTCATATAAATTGTCATTTCATAATGCTGCAGTAATAATTTTCTGCTTGAGAAAGTATGGTTAGTACTTAGTATAGACAAATGGAATAGAGATACTGCTTCTGTATATAGGGTCTGTAGATTTTAAAATTTTTGAAAACTTGATATTTTAAAAAATACATCTTTTAATTTATGGTGATGATGCAAAATTTGTGTGTATGAATACATTTCTTAGAAGTTTGGAAATCATTTTGTGATTAGTAATATTTTAATTTAATTAGTGGATTTAGTTGCCTAATTGTCCAGTGAAAGTACAAAAGCTAGGTATAAGGTTGGAGCTGTGGTGATAACTTAGGCTAGACTGAGGGTTAGATCTTTAAATTATTATTGAGAAATCCAGGTCCGAAAGGGTAACATTTTACTTATTTACCATCTTATATTAGGGACGTGTGTGGCCTAGCGGTAGAGTGCTAAACTGCTAACCCAAAAGTCTCAAGTTGGAATCTGGGTTTAAGTCAGTAGAACGTCCCTGAGTCAACCCAGCTGACTCTGATGGGTAGCTTATGTTAGGGAAAGTATAGGCAGCTGGGCCTAATGCTGACCACACTATCCCTTCATATGCTGAGGCATAGACACAGGTGAACTCTACTTCATTTGCTCTACGGACGCCAGATTTGAAAAGGGAATTTTACTTTGCTTACCATTGTATATTATTAGGGCCCCACTTGGCTTTTTTCTTAGGCAGGCGGTTACACGATTGTATTGATTTAACCATCATCTTGTCCCATTCGATCCCAAGACACTATTTCAGTTTCCTTGACCTAAAGTGGGAGGGGGGGGGGGGGGAATTAGTGTGGCCAGCCAACAATCCTAACTCTTTCATCTGACCACACAACTCCATTTATATTTTCTCTATTCCCTTAGGATTGTTTTGCAGTTCTCATTGAACTCAGAACTTGAGAAGTTTTAGTGTGAACCAGCAGCTGCCAGCAAACATTGTTGATTTCCTGTCACATTCTCCAAAGTCTTAAACGTTTAACTGTAAGTTGATTCTGATTATCTTATTGGTAATGGCTCATATTTCACTAGCATAAACAAACTGATGTTTAGAATACAAAGTAATAACAAACAAATGTAGATAAACATTTGCATTATATCTATCTATCTATCAATATCTCTCTCTCTTGGTCTCTCTCTCTGTATATTTATATATATATATATATATATATATATATATATATATATATATATATATATATATATATATACACACACACACACACATAAACTTATATTTATAAACATGCAATAAAAAAGAACCAGAGAAAAGAAAACATATTTTATCAGTTACCATCTTCGCTAAGCAGCTGCTTCTGCATTATAGAGGAATAATTGATGTTATGAAGTTGGTTTGTGTATCAGTATCATGGTGTTGTGGTAAACTATGTAGTATTCACTCAGTCTGTGTCTTGTTTTGTATGGCCTAATAGAGCTCACGTTGATTGATATTTAACCAGCAGGGTTACAGTAACATGTAGATCTGAAGTTCATTTATGTGTTAAGATAAAACAAAACAAAAGGCCAATCCATTCCTTTCAAGAAAACCCCCACAAGCTCTCACACAAATCAATTTGAATTATTTAAAAAAAAATGTTTCCCTGAATTATTCAAATGTTCTGTCTTTATCTTGAAGTCAAAGATTTGTTGGCTGAACCTTAATTGTTTTAATGAGGATAATCGTTTAGTGAAAAGCCTCGTGTGGACTTATAAAGTATTTATTTGGATGGTGAACAATTTGAGGAAAATTTCTAAAAACATAGTTACAGTATTTTACCAAGTATGTATACATATGTATAGATACACACATGCTTGTACAAGCTATACATGTATGTATACTAAATAGATTGAAACAAAGGAAAGTTAATTCTCTCAATCCCATTGTTTCCCACTGGGGTCTTGATTTCCTGTTGTTTCTCTAAAGTCCAGATTTTGTTGTTGCATGCTGCTTGCGTTATGAGATCTGACGCAATCACACAGGTAGAGTTGGGCATTTCACTCCATGTTTCATTCATCTGTTGTGTTACCTTTCTTTATAAACATTTTAGATATTATTATACTATGCTATTTTTGTAATGCTTCACTGTAAAAATAAATCAGTTGCTTCTAATGTTTTCTTAAATTCACAGGGATATAACTTTCATACTTTCATCTCTTTTGAGAACTGTAATTTTGTGTCGATGTACTGTGCATGGTTTGCTTAGTTATGCAGAGGCGTAGCTGCACATCTTTGTGCTAAGGGGAGATTAAACAAAAGTGCAGCAGGGGGTAGTAAGCCCCTCTGACACCCCTTAGTTACGCCACTGCTGATGTGTATGTTGCTAGCTAACCTACTCTTTGAAATCTCATTAAATTGTATGTTTAAAATTATTATATATTTTTATTAAACATTACTTTTTTTATTGAAATTTACAAATGAGTGATTTAATTTTTAATTAAAAAAGAACATTCCTTTGTAAGCCACTCACATTCGCCCTGCCCCAGACAACATGCTAATCCGATGCAGTTCCATTTGCATATTGCTGCGGAAAACTAGACCTGTGAAATAAAAGCTGGCCAGTTTATTTCTCAAGAGCTGGATTCTTTAGCTGGCCTTAAAGGTGAAAATGAATTATTAAAGCTCTCTAGCTTTCAATAATCAATTCTATTTTGACCTTTTGTGTGAGACAGTAAAATAGCAAGTGAAAAAAAGATTGGATCCCAGTTTTCATTTATCAATGGAGTTTTGTATTCTAAAGTGTTATGTTATGTAGGGACATTGTTGTTTTTAGCTATGGTAGGGTTAAGTTGGGTATGGACAAGGTAATTGACAGAAATGATAGGGATAAGTACAGACATGGTAATTTATAGCTGTGATAGGGTTAAGTTAGTTAGGGACATAGTAATTTGTAGCTATGATAGGAATAAGTTCGGACATAGTAATTTATAGCTATGATGGGCATAAGATAGTTAATGATATCGTAATTTATAGATAGGGTTAAGTTAGGTAGGGACATAGTGATTTGTAGGTATGATAGGGTTAAGTTAGATAGGGACATAGTGATTTGTAGTATGATAGGGTTAAGTTAGATAGGGACATAGTGATTTGTAGGTATGATAGGGTTAAGTTAGATAGGGACAAAGTAATTTGTAGTATGATAGGGTTAAGTTAGATAGGGACATAGTGATTTGTAGGTATGATAGGGTTAAGTTAGATAGGGACATAGTGATTTGTAGGTATGATAGGGTTAAGTTAGATAGGGACATAGTGATTTGTAGGTATGATAGGGTTAAGTTAGATAGTGACATTGTACTTTATAGCAATGGCAATAAGTGAATGTTTTAAACAGATGACTTTTTGAGCAACGCTTGTATTGTTATAGCACTGACACAACACCCCACCGACAGCTGCTATAAAATATGAGGGATAAAGCAAAGCTAATGGTGTTTATAGATGCTGGCTGATTCTTAAACCTAGTCTTTAGGCATAGTTAATTGGTAGGGTTTAGGTGAGCCTTCCTCTTCACAGATAGGTGAACCGTTGCCTTGGTCGTCACAAGTAGATGAAATAGTCGCCGTGATCGCCATACGTAAATGAAATCGTTGCTTTGGTCGCCACAAGTAGTTAAAATAGTTGCCATGATCGCCATACGTAAACGAAATCGTTGCCTTAGTCCCAAGTAGATGAAATAGTTGCCGTCATCGTCATACGTAAATAAAATCGTTGCCTTAGTCACACGTAGATGATAGTAGCTTTAGTCACAAGTAGATGAAATAGTTGCCGTCATCGTCATACGTAAATAAAATCGTTGCCTTAGTCATATGTAAACGAAATATTTGCCTTAGTCACACGTAGATGAAATAGTGGCCAATTGCTCACCAACTTTGTCAATCTTGTCCAGCGTTGAATGAACTGTTTAGATTTTCTCGTCCATTAGTTTCACCCCTCCTCCCCCCCTCCCCCCTTTCCTCTGTGTCTGCCCTATCGACCACTAAGTAGTATTGGCTCTCGATTGGCCATACCGACCAGATCGATGGCCAGAAAATAACTCGGACTAGGGGCCCAGCCAGAGAGCTACGTCATTTAGCGGTGGGGTTCCATTATTCCATAGAGTGGCCGCACGCACATTTCTTGGTCACACCCCCGCCCCACCCCACCGGATTCGATACGGGAACCGCCCCCCACCCCTGGTCTGGACGTGCACTCTAACCAACTCTCCCCCCCCCCCCACTCACACTGCCCAAATATTTTTCTGGTCTGTTGTTTTGATGTCAGACAAATCCCAAGGGTAGGGGCGAGGGTGTCGTGGGTGGGATCATACTTTTCATGCAATGCTTTGGCTCTATCCCCTTCCGCTGTTTATCTGATCGGAAGTATGCCAGAACCAGCCACTACGTCATAACGGGCTCAGCTTACGTCATAGTTTCCCGTAGGCCCCTTCCCCCCATAGTTCTCTTGTACGCCTGCTTGTCACTTGACATGTTCTCCCACAGAAGTCTCATGTGTCTAACAACCGTCCGAGTTTTTTTTTTTTTTTTTGGGGGGGGGGGGGGGGTGCGCCGAAACACGTCATTCCACCCCCACCTCAAAGTGAAATAGAATTTATATACAGAACATATACTTCAACCAGTTCTCTTCTCCACCCCTATGAAATATGCCCCCCCCCCCCCTCAGTTTCAAGTGTCCTCTCCCCCCCCCTTTCCGAAAATGTCTGAACGAAACACTGGTGGCGTGGGCATTGATGCTGTTTTAATCATGCTAATTTCTCTCTTGTGGTGACAACATTATGATTACATCATCTTCTCAGACTGGCGTAAATATCAGACAACTTATGGGTACATTATGTTATTAGACTGGTGTACATTGTTTCTTTCAGACTTTTTTCTCCGGGTTGTCAACATTTTTCGGGAGGGCGGACACTAGTAAAAGTGTATGTTTACTGTATAAAATCCATCTCGTTAGGGGGGGGGGGCGGTAGACTGGAAGAAACTCTGCTGGTGTAAATATCAGACACCCAATGCGTACATGTAATCAGACTGCTTAAAGTAATAGACAGTGAGTAAAAGGTGGGTATATTATGGACTGCGGTAAATACCCAAAAATAACAGAAAAAGTCACCAACTGGGATTAGCATTCTGAGATTTGATTGTTTAATCTACTGGCAGTAAGGGAAAGGGTGATAAGCTTTGTGGTATTGGAATATATATTTTAAGTTGGATCTAACCAACTGACAGCAAGAGAAGGTCGTGGACAGAATGCCATCTTCAGGGTGTCAGAGCGTGACTGTCTGCGATTATGTCAGATTAACCGTCGCGTAAGTCCCCGGACTTGATGGGCGCACGTCATGGTGTTGTGGCGAGAAGGAAATGATGGTGCGTGATTGTTTTCGTGTCCCACTCATTTCCTGTCTTCTAGAGTTGTCGCACTTTGGTCGTCACAGGCTCATAGAGTTGTCACACTTTGGTCGTTACAGGCTCATAGAGTTGTTGCACTTACAGGCTCATAGAGTTGTCACACTTACAGGCTCATAAGGTTGTCACACTTACAGGCTCATAGAGTTGTCGCACTTTGGTCGTCACAGGCTCATAGAGTTGTCGCACTTTGGTCGTCACAGGCTCATAGAGTTGTCGCACTTTGGTCGTCACAGGCTCATAGAGTTGTCGCACTTTGGTCGTCACAGGCTCATAGAGTTGTCGCACTTACAGGCTCATAGAGTTGTCGCACTTACAGGCTCATAGAGTTGTCGTACTTTGGTCGTCACAGGCTGTTGGAGTTGTTGCACTTTGGTCGTTACAGGCTCATAGAGTTGTCGCACTTACAGGCTCATAGAGTTGTCGCACTTTGGTCGTCACAGGCTGTTAGAGTTGTCACACTTTGGTCGTTACAGGCTCATAGAGTTGTCGCACTTACAGGCTCATAGAGTTGTCGCACTTTGGTCGTCACAGGCTGTTAGAGTTGTTGCACTTTGGTCGTCACAGGCTGTTAGAGTTGTCGCACTTTGGTC